CAGTCTGGATGTCTCCCTTTGTCTGCAAAAGAAGCCATTCAAGGCTTGACAACTCCTCCGTGATCCCGTTGTCCAAGCCATGGACGAACAGTTTAATCACAGCAACCACATGACCATTGGATGTGTCATTAAATACCAGCGGTGTCTCCCCATTGGCAAATTCATCCTTAGCATAAGCAAAGAAAATGATTGCACCAGAAAAGCCTCCCGGGTGCGTGGGATCTAGACTCTGCAAGTTGACAGGAAAACCAACAGCAGCAGAGACATGCTCTTCTAGCGCCGAAATGGTCGCAGCTATCTCTGGAAGACTTTGCATGACTTCGTCGGCCTGCTTTAAGGTCGGCTTTCCACTGCGATTTCGCGTTCGTGCGGCTCGACGCATTGACGATACCACGCTCATCCCAAGTGATGGACGAGGCCATGATGAATATGCCGGTGCAACGCTACCATGGGCCATCTGCACTGTATCTCCCTCGCCCTCCATCGCGGAGCGGAGCAAAGCCTTAGCAGCGTGTTTCCACGAATAACCTCGCATGATACGCTGTAGAGAACGAGCATGCCGTCTCGTTTGCTCCGGGTAACATCTCACTTGGTCGATCCGATGAGCCCAGACGGCTACCCGCTGGCTTGTCGGTGAAGGCACAATTCCATATGTGCTCTCATCCATAACCACACAGGCCTGACCAAGTTCTGGCGGAATGCGACTGCGATCAAGCGCAAGCTGGCCCGCACCACTTTCCTGCGTCACTAAGATGGGAACTCCCATCCCGGCGACTTCTGTAAAGATCATCCCGAACCCCTCGTGCATTGAGGGCATTATCACCAGGTCCGCGTTACAGTAGAACCGCGAGACCGCATTAGGGTCATCAGAGAAAGGGTGCAATCTGACAAGGTCTGGCATGCCTGTCATCTCATCGACGGCCTGCTGCCAGCGCTCCACGTCTTCTGCTGGGAGTCCCAGCACGTCTAGGGATATATCGTTCCCAGAAAGTGCGATCTTGCGCACAGCGTACACGGCGTCGTCTAAACCTTTGGCGGGGTCGTCTGCTCGGCCAGCGAGGAGGACCCGAAACAGGTCGTTCGGCTGTCGCTGTTGTGTACAAGCGTCACCCGTGCGTACGCCGGGAACTAGTTCATGGAAGCGAGGTCCCATCATGTTGGATCGTGGGCGATTGCATTGGCCCATCCACTCGCGCTCGCGTGCTTCAGTTGTGAGTACAGGTCCGACTCCAACAGCCAAATCTGCTTTAGGGAGGATTCTCTCGTCGAGCATTGCCAGCCGAGCAGCTTCAACATAGCCTAGCTCGCGTGTTTGTCCGTACCACTTCCACGCGACGTCGGACTTGCGCAGCGCACTAGTATGTGTGATGAGCGCGAGCTTGGATGTGGGATACCATCTTTCACGGATCAAAGAAGCTGCGGTGCTAGAGTATCGCGAGTGGCCAATGATGAGATTGAATGGGGATGAATGCTGGTCGTCTGGAATTGGCAAACCATACTCTCCTGGCTGGTGTACCTTCGCCACATGGTAGAGCAAGGCACTTGGGTCATCTCCTCTAGAAGGGATGCAGACCACTCTAGCCCGGCCATGCCCCGATGATGCCAACATGCTTTTGACTTCATTCTCGGGCTGTACCATGAACAGCGTAACTGATGCATTGGGAATTTCCGACATTGCTTTGACTAGTTCTTGATTCAACAGAGGCAGACCTCCTTTACCTGGCCCGCTAGCGTTGGCAACGACGAGCACTCTCCAGGGTTGGATCTTTTCAGGCGAGATACTGACAAGACGCTCCCATTCAAATTTAATCTTTTCACTGAGCTGCACAGCTTTATATTCATCGCGCGATGTATCTTGCTTGTCCACAGCAGACCATAATCGAGATAGTTGCGTGCGTGTTTTGAATAATCGGACAAGCCCTTCGTTGATTGGTATACCCTGCGCCTGGTACGCTTTCCAGAACTCCCCCTGGACTTGGCCAATATCAGCTTCACTCATTCCGAAGTCCCCGGCATACTTCCGCAGCCGCTCGTGAAATCCAGCCGCATCCATCTCTGCCGGTCCAATAGGTCGACCGCTGGCATCCATCGAGCGAGTCAATCCCCCGTAGTCGATCATGGTGATTCCTTCGACGGGGTCCCAGAAGAAATTCCCTGGAGAGGCATCGCCATGCAGCAGTGACGCTACACCTTCTTCCCGCGAGTAATCAATCGCCCAGTCGACCAGTGAGGCTAGTTGCTGTATTTTATCGGATCCAATAGCGCGTTCATACTGCCCTCGTGATGGGCCCTGGATCTCTTCAACCCAACCTTGTAACTTGTTGCGCAGCCTGTCGACGACAGACTCGCTGGCGCTACTCCACTCGTTTTTTTCCCGGTGCAGCTTGGCCAGTGTTAATGCCACTCCTTGTACAGCGGAAATCAAGTCGGCCATCAATACATTGAACTGACAGTCCAGAAGCTCAGTGGTGGGGGTATTTGGTGATTGAGCTTGGTGTGATATATAATTGATTGAGATCCCATGGAGCGCGCCGCGAATAATATCATTCATCATCTCCCTTGTTTCGTCGGGACAAGGTTGCTTTGCGATCAATCTGAGGGTGGAGACCCGACCAATGTCACGGATAATTGTGTTGATTGCCTTACCTGCTGCGAGCTGGTAGACAATCACTCCCATGGGCTCTGCGGTATTCTCATCGCGAGTCCTTCCTACCCCAAGAGGCCGAGCAGCAGACGGTGGATCGGAAAGAGACCGCAATCTCCGGTATGCAACGAGCTCTTCGAAAAAGTCCTTATGACATGTTGGTGGATATACTTTCGTGACGGCGACGGCTTTTTCTGGATGGTTACTGTCCCGGACGAAATAAATGGAACAGCCGGATTGGCCTTCTGCTCCGGATGCTTGAAGACGGTGTAGCTCGACGGAGTGGCCGAGGACAGATTCAACGATTGCGGTGATGGAGCCGGTCTCAGGTAATGCAGTTAATGTAAAGTTGCCATCGTCTTCTTTTCGAATGGTGAGCTTGTCTAGAGTCGTTGGCAGGACGCCCTCCTCCAGTCTAGCGCACTTCAAGGCGGCCATTCTATTGGGTTAGAAATTTTGAATGGAGGGACAGAGTACAGAAAAAAAAAACCAGAGGATATCAATATATTATTCAGTCTCATTCGAGTGTAGTCGGCAAAAAGGGTTCCCTCTTACCTCAAGCTCAAAATACGCGGAGCAGACAACGACGATCCACACAATACCAGGATCTTTCCTCAGCCGTACCACCCTATGCAACATCCGGTGGATCTTGGTGTGACCAGGTCGATCTGCCGTAAAAAGGATACGTTGTCTGAGTCGAGCCCTCGCGGCTGGGTGGGGATCATCGCATAATTAGCGTTATATTATGGTAATACATGTTGAGCTACCATCATGCCCCAGCTCTTTTGGGGCGGAATAGATGAGCTCAAGCGGATAACTCCGTATCTCCATAAGCACTATGCAGGCTAGACTTGTCTTAATCGATGGTGGAGTGGCTGAAGTTGTGATGGGTGTAAGGAGTTACAGGTCACATATCAGGTACTTGGGTGTGACGTTATTGGAGGCCCAGATGGTCAATTTACAACGATGAATGACAAAAGAACAGGTGAATAGGGGGTATCAAGTACGTAATATTTAGCTTCTATGAGTACAGGTACAGTATCCATTCAGGGTCTATTCAGCTAGCCACAAATTGACACCAGGTCATATTGGCACCCACATAGGCAGTGAATTTACTGTAAGCACGCCATTGTACCTAATCCAGTGTCAGCCTGATAATTTGAGCAATAGTGGTCAACGTATAATTTACTACCATTGCAGCTGAAGAGCCGTGGAGTTGAGCCCAGGGAGTAAATCGGCATCGAAGTGCTCGGGCATGAACCACTCTCCGATATGGTTAGAGCCAAGTAGGCCGACCCACCCCAAACTACGGTTCTTCCCGCGACACTCTTCCCGAACCTAACCTTAAGTCATCTCACGTGCCTAGGTAGGTAGATGGTATTTTTTTAGGTATATATAATTCATTTCAGATGGATCGGTTTGATTTTTATACATATCAAATAGCACAAATAGGAGGATGCTAGACTCTGTCTGGGTCCCAAGTCAAAATAAGACCGCGCAAGCGGTATGATATACACCCAACCTGCTGGGTCGCATGTTCTAAGCATACTCCGTACTGTACTCTGTACTCCGTACGTATGTCTTGAATATCAATAGTCCAAGTCAATATGCATATGGGATGACAAGTTGTGGGGTATTCCTATGCAAGGACTATGTACGGAGTACTCCGTATAACCTTCCAAGTTGTCACGCCACATCACGCCACAAAGTACGGAGTAAATGTCCATAATTTGGGCAATTTATCACGCGAGCTGCTTATTTTATGATCAATCAAATTCTAAACTCGGGATATGTATCGACTGCGACGAATGATAGATTCTACGGAATTCTCCGTGTGAAGCAAAAAGCAGCGGAGAATCGAAGCGAACTGGAATTAAAACCAGGTTATTTTGCAACCTGGCTGCAGTACTATACGCACAGCCCATCCACATGACAAAATACCGTATTCTCTTAAAACTATTGCAGGGAGACTGAAGGAGTATACTCTGTACTTTGGAGGATCATTGGAGGAACTTAACTAGCGATACTATATTTGTTGAAAGAATTAGGTAAATTCATGTCTCTTTCCCTCTCTGTCTCTATCTAATGTCATTGGATCTATGACTTTATTTTAAGTCTTCATGCGGTATCCATGTTCGTTCAAAATAAACATAAAGTTGAATACCTGAGCCAAACCACTGGTTCCTAATGGTGATCCTGCAAGCATGTACATTTAAAACTGGAAACTTCAATTTGTTCAATCTGCACTTAGGCACGAGTACATGTACGTATACTACAACATAGAAATATCAACTATTTGTACCGAGTATACACGATTTCCGAGGCTAGTGCCGATCTTCAGGTCAAACCTGCATCGATGTGCAACACAATTTTGAAGCTGTAAGATTACTAGCCAATACAGTGGCGTTACTAGTCTCCATCCGAGGATCCACTAATTGACAGCGCCAGGATTGAAACATGGGGACACGACAGCTCAGTTGTGAACTTTCAGCTTTCAATCTCGCAGCCAACACCCCGTATGTGAAGACAGCTACATACCTTCCTGGGTAATTCCCATTTCTTCTGTCTCAATTACCCGGTCAAAGTCAACCTTGAGATCCAGAGTCTCCGATTATCAAGAGCCTGCGGCGATGGATTCGGTTATCGGTGCTCATGAATTTCTCCAATATCTTCGCTTTGGATATCCTCCGGTTTTGCTGGTGATTCTATTTGTCGTCTTTTTGGTCCATTCTTCCCAGGTAGCCAAAAATGCAGCCAAAGATGCCAATCAGAATACCGAAGTGCAGTATGGCCCTGGTGGGAAACCACTACCCAGGCGAACCCGAATGATGATGGCAGTAGCCAGGGACTTGCCCGCGGAGCTTGCGCTGAATAGATACAAAGGCTGGTTTTTTTGGTTGAGTGTTTTTGTGCTGGCTACATATGTTGCAGAGGCAGCGATTCATATGACCCATGCCATTATCTCAAAGTCAGAACAGTGGTGGTGTGGCCAAGCGGTGGTGGTGAGACTTCTGTTTCAAAAATTGAAATCAAAACTAACAAAAATGCCAGTTCTTTGTCGTTGGGTCCTTCTTCACTCATACCGTCATCTTCATCTCTTTACTCGATACAAACCCTGCACCATCAATCGCGCAATTCGTCCCATGGCTGTCGGCCATTCCTTTCGAGGTAGCAATTCTCTCCACTTCAGTCTCGATTTATTCTCATACCCACCACGAACCTACAATTGAAGATCCGTTTGGCGGAAAACTGCGCACGAAAATCACATTCTGGGAGGCATTGGAGATTTCCGCAGGCTCTGTCCGGATTTTTGTTCTCGCACTGCTGGTCGCATCCTACACTTTCAGATCTGCCCGCAAACATCGCACCTTCAAAGAGGCCGAAGAAGCTGATACTGGAGAGACAACCAATCTACTAGATTCAAGGGGTAATGCCAACTCGGATGACAGTGATGCGTTGACCGATGGTCAACAGACCCCTGAAGTAGAAGCGTGGGTACGGCCTTTGACGACCCCTTCCACCAACTGGATGGAATATCTGAGTGGTTATTCCCTATTCTTTCCATATCTGTGGCCCTACAAATCTCTCCGGTTGCAAGTTGTCGTTGTCATCTGCTTTGCTATATTAATTTTGCAGCGAGCGGTAAATATCCTGGTTCCATACCAAGTGGGAGTGATCGCAGACTCGTTATCCGCCAGCGATGGAACTCTGAGAGTGCCTTGGATGCCTATCTGTTTGTATATCATTTACCGTTGGCTTCAAGGCAGCCAAGGTTTTCTCGAGTCAGTTCGTTCGAATCTATGGATTTCAGTGAGCCAATACGCATACATGGAGTTGTCAACCGCTGCATTTGAGCATGTTCATAACCTTGGACTGGACTTTCACCTGGGTAAAAAGATGGGCGAGGTTCTCTCAGCTCTCACCAAAGGCAGCTCAATTAACACTTTCCTTGAGCAAGTTACATTTCAAGTGCTGCCCATGTTCATTGATCTGGCCATCGCCATCGGATACTTCCTAGTCGTATTTGACGTGTATTATGCGTTAGCTGTTGCTATCATGACATTCTTCTACCTCTATTCAACCGTCAAGATCGCCTCTTGGAGAGCCAATATGCGACGCCAAATGGTGAACGCTTCTAGGCAGGAAGACGCTGTCAAGTAAGTTTTATTCCATTTCTCGCCTCTGCTTGTCCCACCGGCTTTTACTAATCTATGCAGAAATGATTCTCTGGTGTCTTACGAAACTGTCAAATATTTCAACGCAGAGGAATACGAGTTCAATCGCTATCGAGGGGCGGTCTCGGACTACCTCCGGGCGGAATGGCATTCCCTCTTCGCACAGAACCTGATGAATATTTTCCAAAATGTCATCTTCATGCTTGGCCTTCTAATTACCTGTTTTATTTGTGCCTACCAAGTCGCTCGCGGTCAACGTGCAGTTGGCCAGTTCGTGACTCTCCTGACCTACATGGCCCAACTCCAAGCCCCATTGAACATCTTCGGAACCTTCTACCGATATATTCAATCTGCGTTGATCAACGCAGAGCGTCTACTCGAGCTGTTCCGCGTCCAGCCATCGGTGGTGGATGCACCGTCTGCAACACCGCTAGCAGTCTGTCACGGCCGAGTCACATTTAACGATATCCAATTCTCGTATGACACACGAAAGCCTGCTCTCGACGGATTGACCTTTGACTGTAAGCCGGGTACAACCACTGCTCTGGTGGGAGAATCTGGCGGAGGAAAATCGACAATCTTCCGCTTGCTCTACAGGTTCTACAATCCGAACGGTGGAAGCATTCTCATTGACGGACACGACACCCAGACCTTGACAATTGACTCCGTGCGAAGACACATTGGTATTGTACCACAAGACACAGTTCTATTCAACGAAACGATCATGTACAACCTCAAATATGCCAACCAAGACGCCACTGATGAGGAAGTCTATGAAGCCTGTCGCGCAGCCAGTGTACACGAGAAGATCATGGCCTTCCCTGATGGTTACGAAACCAAAGTGGGAGACCGTGGATTGCGACTGAGTGGTGGTGAGAAACAGCGTGTTGCCATTGCCCGAACCATTATCAAGAAACCTCAGATTATCCTGCTTGACGAGGCAACGGCCGCATTGGACTCCGAGACGGAGCAGAACATCCAAGAAGCACTATCCGTCTTGTCCCGTGGGCGCACTGTGCTAGTCATTGCCCATCGACTGAGCACCATCACCGCTGCTGATAACATTGTTGTATTGCACGAAGGTCGTGTGGCAGAGAGTGGGACTCATGAGCAGCTTCTGGCTTCTCACGGTCGATATACAACTATGTGGCAAAAGCAAATTCGTGCGCAGACTGAATCTGTGGGCTTGGAGGCCTTGTCAGGCAAGATATAGATTTGTACTTTGGGAAATCATTCAGATGGGTTATGTATATAGAGTTGCCTTGCCTTTGTAGAAACGAATCTCCACCGAGCTGATTTCTTATTCAAGGGGAAGTTTTTATTGGGAATATTGCTGAGACAAAGTCGGATGGAGTTAAGTCAATGGTTAATCCTAATACTTAATCTATGTATATCTTTCCTTCAAAACGAATTGTGCTATTCAACAGTGAAATTCACCCATTGAAATCAAATCCGAACAGAGCCGAGTAAGAATCAAGATCCGGAAAATTAGTGAAAATCTACGGAGTACTTCGGAGCTAAATTACGTATCCAATATGACCAATGAACTCACGGTTCCCAAGATGGCCCAGAATGGACCAGTAGCGTAGACGTGAGTCTACGGAGTAGGGAGTGCCCATATTCAGGGGTGTACTATTTTTGGGGGTCATACAGGGAAGAATATTATCTTGGTGTTGTCAACCTATTGCTTTTTTTTTTTTGAATTATAGTGGTTTATCTGTCATTTGTGATGGCTCCTGCATGTGTACGGAACCTGTCCGCGTTGATGCAGGATGGACCCTAAGGACAGAGTATACGGTACACCATATATCATGCATCCCATAGGGTCCATGTATAGCTTACAATGTTTCAGCCCGTCGCCACCTGTATTACGGATTACACCGTCAAGACAATGTCGAATATTTCCTGTGACTCAATCTCGATCTGTACTATGTCGATTTCCTTACTAGTGTCACTAGCCTTAAAAGCGGGTTCATAGGCTAAATTCTCAGACAAAAGTACTCCTTTGTAATCTTTGTAATTTCATACAGGAGGTTTCCTCGTACATATTCTTACTCTGTTCAACGATAAACTATTCGAGCCCGATTGATTTTCTTTCCCTTGTGCACACATTTCCTTCTGGAGATGGAGCGAATTATGTGGCTTGATAGCCTTCGGGGAATAGCCTCAGCTTTGGTAGTAATACACCATTCAAAGAGCTCGGAGCCCAAGAGTATCGTTGGCTTTTTAACCAGGTCCTACTGGGATGAACCGGCCGAAGAGAACCGTCGTCTTATCCAACTCCCGCCCTTCCGACTTCTCTTTAATGGACCATCAATGGTGGCTTTGTTTATGGTCATATCGGGGTATGCGATCTCTCTTCCCCTTCTCCGTTGCCGAGAGCACGTTGCGGCAAGTAATTCAGGGTTCTTTCGTCGACTATGCTCTGCAGCAACACGCCGAATCTTTCGAATCTATCTGCCCTCCGTTGCCATACTGTTTCTTAGTCAACTTGTGTACTTTTCCAATGTTTTCCAGTGGAAAGCTGCAGATGACTGGCTAGGCGGGCTGAAGCCCTTGACAGCACCATGGGCCCATATCCAATATGTGCTTTCGAGAATAGTGCATCTCCTGGATATCAGCAACCATCAAGTCGATATCAATTTTGATCACAACCGACCGGATATGAGAACCATAAACTACCAACTGTGGACAATGCCAATTGAGTTTCGTGGCTCGTGTGCTGTCTACTTGTTAATTTTGACATTCTCATTTTGGAGACCGCGGCCTCGGTATCTGGCACTGGCAGGTGTCGCGATGTATTGGTTTTATATGGGACACTGGGATCTCTTTGCCTTCGTTGCTGGGATTCTTCTCGCAGAGAGACACGTCGCAGCTGAGTCCGAACCAGAAAGAGAGATTGCCTTATCATCATCTCCACCTCTCGAGATTCAAAAAGCCATTACCAAATCCTGGGAAACATTCACAGAGAACATACGTCTCCAACAATTTGGAACATCGGTCTCGTTCATTCTGGGAATGTATTTCCTCTGCATGTGCGGCGCTGACCGGCTAGCAAGGGAGTACCAATGGCTGGTCGTGGCTCGATCTCCCGAGTGGGATAATGCTGAGATGATGCCTCGGTGCTGGAGGAGCGTTGGAGCAGTTCTGACAATATATGCAATCAGCAAATCTACGCTGCTTCAATGGCCGCTCAACTCACGACCATTGCAATACTTGGGCAAAATCTCATTCCCGCTCTATCTAGTCCACCCAACGGTCTATCTTGTTCTTAAATGGCCAGTTCGAGACTTTTTGTGGTGGACAATTACAAGAACGCCTTATCCTGGTACTATCGAGGCGAGCAAACATGCTCTGCCGTTTTATGTGGCTTGGATGGGAGCCATGATCGTGTTAGGTGTTGTTATGGTGATTGCATCTGAACTTTGGAATCGCTTCGTTGATATGAAGTGCCTGGGCCTCGCAAGAAGATTTGAAAAGTTGGTATCCTGTTAGCAAATGCATGCTTGGGAATGGACTTTAAAATAATATAGGAACACGGTCAGCAGTAACTACATAAAATAAAGCAATTGTATTTCACATTATGACAACATGACAGAAATCGAATGAGACGGTAGATCGCGATGGGAAAGGAGCCGAGGTTTCGCGAGCAACCGCGGACATCGTGGTATGTGGTCAATATAAATGAGAATGAGTTCGTGACATCATGCAGCAAAACGCCATGTTCAAGTGGTAAAGACAAGAACTGGTATTAGCACAAATCAAATTCGTATTGGCGCGACCAGAGTTAAACACAGCAGCATAGATCTAGGGCTCGAGATGGACAAAAAACTTGACTACATAATAATGATAGCGCCTAATAATGAGAACGTAGTCCAGATAGCCGTGAGGACCCCAAGTTGAGGGGGACAGAACCTATATTTGGTTAGTTGATATAGACCAAGTAATGACCTCGGGACTGTGCAATACGTACTCTTCCGAACTAAGACCAATAAATCCACTCCAAAAGAGCCACTGCGCAATCCAGAGAAGGAGCATGCTGATGACCGTAGCCACATACAATCCCACAAATGATTTCCGGGAAACCCGGTCATGTTGGCGTTGAAAAGAGGAAGTGCCATAATCCATGTGATCTCCTCTGTTCTTTATCAACGGTGTTCTTTCTGAGTCCATGCGCTCGCTCCTTATCAAGGGTGTTTCTCGTGAGCCCCTATTCTCCATTAACCTTATGCAACATTCATCCAAGTGGTCCATCAGGTCTTTAATCTTCGATGTTGTCCGCCTACCTCCCTGCCACTCTAGTGTGTCGAAACTAGGTTCAGTCAACCTATTCATCCTAATAGCCCGTATTAACTGAGAAACCACCACGCTAAAGATGATAAGCCACACGAGTGCTCCAGCATACATCGTTTTTGCGGGTCCCGCTCTCTCCGCTCCGTCCATGCCTCCGAAGTAGAAATTGTGTTTTTGGCCATAATGAACGGTCATAAGCAAGTAATATGCTGATAGAAATTGGAGGATCACTTCAGCAAATAGCGAAGACCCGGCCGCGAAGAACTTCAAATCTCCGAAGGTTGGTACACCAATCAACAAAATCGTCAACCAAGTAGGCCGAGGCATTGAGCTCCAGAGGAGGATTAATTGAATAACGGGAACGTTCTCATAGCCAGGGGTTTGTTGAATAAAAAGAATATTGAACAGGTTTGCAAGGAGTTGCAGAGCGGCGATTAATGTTCCTTTGACAACCCATGACCACTGCTGCGAGTTCCATGGAAAGCGGCATGCGATTCGACGCACTATTCCTGTTCTCACGCTGAGAGCTACTACAAGGAAAGTAGCTATATTTACTAGAGCAAAGCTTGTGAGTTTAGACTCATTCGAGGCACATGTTTCTGTTGCCCTGGCGTCTCCCAAACTGGGGGTATGGGTAATGTCTGAATCGTTGGATGGCTTCAATTGCCAACGCCATGGAATTATTTCGAGGGTGGTAGGGGCGGTTAATTGACGCCAATTATCTGGCAGACCGTGCCAGTCTTGCACATTGCCACAAAGATCATGCAGCCACTTGATGTATTCAATTCGTGTGTCAAATATCTGACACGACTCTCCGCAGGAATCGTAGTTGATGTTATGACAAAAGCAAGCCCTGTCAACTGCGCGCTTGGTTTTGCAGTAGCCACCGGCCTCACAAGCATCGGTTACACAATGATCAGTAAGCTCGATCACCTGCTTCGGCATATCCGCGACGCATTTGGGCCAGTGCCAATCTTCGATGGGAATGTACGCGAATTGGGTGGTTTTAAGTGTGTCCGCCCAGTTTTCGGGTAAGGATGCCGGCCCACACGTGGCATAAATCCAGAGACGCTCCTTCGTGAAGTCCAATTGTCCTGACCCTGAACAAGGTTCCTTGTTGAGATCTATTTTGAAAGTGTTGCAGAAACAATCTTTGTCAAAATAGTCGCCATCACTGATGCGACGCAGGACCATATCGAAGATACTATGCTGCACGAGATCGTAACCAACAGTTTCAAAATCAAGAGCGATCATAGACCGTAGCCTTTCATTATATTCCCAGGGACGATCAACGTTTCCAGTGTGTTGGGTAGTGCTTGTGAAACCACAGGAGGCCATTACATGTTGAAATGGTTCCATCGATGATGCAGACACCGAGTCGCTCAGACATGTCGGTGCATTGTGAATCACGTCAACGGCTGCATACCCTTCAGCTAGGGAGTCTGGGGAGAGACTTTGCAGACCGCTCGCGTCGCCGACATCGACAAGCCACGTTCGACCTGTGATATCATGAATCCATTGATACAACTGCGCTTTGGCGAGAACCGATCGACCACAGTATGGGAGATAATTTTCGATAACGTCAGGGGAGAATGCAATGCTGAGGCAGCTGAGTTCGGTCAGCCATTGGTGGTGAGTGCAGATAAATGTAAATTTGGAGGTACATCGTTTTCTGGTACATTGCGTCATGGCACGCAGCCAGGTAGACTGATCTTGCTGGGCGATGCACTGTGGCATAGGGGCCAAATATTCAGGGTTGACCCATCCGTTGGGGTTGTTTTGGGGCAACAAGATACCGTCGTCCCCATCATACTTAACGGTGGTGGTATGGATCGCTTCCGCGGTATTGATGTTGGTGCCAACGATAGATGGAGACTGGAGGAAGCTACCTTTGGCATCTACCCCATAAACCCCCGTCAACAGCACAAGACACGTAGGTATTTTCATCTTGCTGGTATCAAGGCACCGAAGTAGTGTGAACGGAACTCGGGCTTTTTTGGTTTGCGGAATGCTACTTCGGTGCGGGGTTGGCCGTTTGAGGACGATGTACTCTACGGGCGACTAAGTATGCCACCCTGGACATGACTCTCTCATTATGCGGTGAGGTAATATCCAATGAGAGTGATGTCCAGGGGGGCACACTTAGTCGCCCGTATTACTCGAGGGCTGTAAGCGCTGTGCTGGTTTCAAATGTTCCTTTTTTTAGTCTTTTTAGCCCCAAGATATGGGTATTTTTGGATCTAATTTCTCTTAGATATCTATAGAGGATGCATTCAAATGTACAAATCGCTATTATAAACTATACTAGAGGCAAAGCCTGAACTGACGCACTTGCGGCAATAGGCTATCGAAGCTGAAGGTCGCTTTTTATGGCCAAGTCTATGGTTGTTTGCGAAGATAGTGTCTCGTCTCTAATTAGCTGTTCTCTGTTTTATCTTCCCCCAGTCCCTACCTAGGTACACTAGATCATTCGTTGCTGACCCGGAGATTTTGTGTCGCCAGAGCTTACCTCTCCTTTCTAGAAGATACAGCGACGGGTAGAGCCCCGCAAAGCCCATAAAGTCCATAGCCCAGCCCAACCTAACCCGCAAATGGGCTGGGCTTTAGGCCCTGCCTTCGGGCCTACCAGTGGGCTGTGGGCCTAAGGAGAAGCCTACTATGGGTTAATAGGCCCTCAAATGGGCCCCAAACAGTACAAATATGCCGAGAATTCAGAAGTTGAATCCCCTTTTAGGGGTTTTAAAATTACCCTTCGTTTTCCCCCCGTTTCTAAGCCTTATCCTAAAGGTAATATTTTATTTGTTTAAATTATTTATAATCAATTACTAGTTATCTCTCTATATCACGTGTAAAAACGCGAGAAAGCGCGTTATTTAGATAATTTATAAATTACAGAAGTTCACTTAGAAAGTGGTAATTCTCCTCTTTAGGTCTTAGATATATCTCTTGTCAAAACATTAATATTAAATATTTTTCGCGGTTTCTTCCAATCGGATTTTCTTTAAAATTAAAATATATACTTATATAGCTATTAATATTATAAATTCTTAAATTTTAAAACTCTATATAATAAGTAGAAGGTTAGGATACAGCGATTATAAGAAGCCGAGTAAAAGCCCCTTGGCTGGGTTGGACTTTGGGCCCCGGGTTCGGGCCCATTTATGGGCTTTGCGGAACGCTAGGGGCGGGATAGTAAGGATGGTAAGAAGAGTGAGGGCAGCAAAGAGAACAAAACACCATCCTGGACCACCTTTCCCAATAAGTACATCTAGTAGATGTTGAGGAAAAGAAGATCTGCATGGTAAGGCCAATGACAAATTAGAGAACAAGACGTACGGCAATATGTAGCTTTTTTCTATCACCATAGTCTTGGAGAAACATCATTAATTGTCATATAGTAATGGGGAAAGTCGGTGCTCTTTCTGTCACTTCTCGAAGTCATACTTCTGAGGAACATGGCGATACCTATAGGAGATATAAGAAGACATCTATTAGTCGGGCTGAGGACCTTGAATTCACAGCACAGGGCGACTACAAGTTTTCATATCGTTGGTCACAAGGTATTATTGTGAGACCTCATCAAGCTGCAAATAGTTCTATCTTCTGGGTATGCGGGGATACCAAATATCTTCTAATCATACAACTGCACTCCCTAAACCCGATTATATCCGCGAAGCTTGGTCTGAGCTACAGCTGCAATCGAATCCCGGACGTCAATACCACCAGCAAGGCAATATGCTGCAAACATGGATGATCTCATATCCTGAGATCCAGAAGCGTGACCCAAGGGCAGCATACTTCTAAGTTTACTAAACGTTAGTATTACTCGGTAAGGGTTGCTAGGCCCTTTCTTATACATACTCGAGCTCTGAGTCCATGGTATATGGCTAATACCTAAATAAAAAGATGTACGTGACTTTCATCCTTGTGTAAGTGAGAGCGTGAGAATTTGTAGGGGCTCCTATAGCTAAATGAAATGCAGTAAGTCCACTAATTACCGATAGAGAATGGATTCTTTCTTAATTCCTAAGGTTACCCACCTCGCCCCAAACCCAACCCATTTGCAGGTTGGGTCAGGATGGGGTTTGGGGGCTATCTACTGTCAATCACTCCCTTGTCTTCCTTCTCCCTCTTAGACTTGTAGGACTACGTGCAACATATTTTAAACGGATATATCATTGGACAGTATGTCAATTTTCGTGATCAACGCGATTGGTGAACGGCGATTAAACACAACTTGCTCGGTCCTCGAATGATTTTCGGCAAGGGTTTATCCAATACACGAGCGAGGGATTAAAAAAAAACTAAAACAGCGTGGAGAAAAAAGAGCGGCTTCCTCATCCGTAGAGGATGGTATAGATATTTGCATTTAAGAAAGCAACGATATTGGCTCTGACATTCCTGTTCTATGCAATTAGCAAGCTGGAATAGGTAATATGGTTTTCCGTTACTGACCATTGCTTGCCGAGAAGTTAACGAGATATGTGCTTAACAGGCCGAATAATACCATCCAGGGTCCGCTTGACAATATTGTTTAAATGTTTGCACATCGGCACTATTCGCAAGGGTGCAGTAATCCTCAGCTGCCCCATAGCAATAGCACATATCTGCGTCATCGCCTATTTCTGCGCAGATCTCGCTAGTTCTGCTATAGTCACCAGCTGTAGTTCCCTGGGCATTCTTGCACCGGAAGGCACTGCCAGCACAGGCAGAGACAGCCGCAGTATACATAACCAAAGTAAGTAGAAGATTCATGATGGAGACAAAGAAGTGGGTAATTGATTGTTTTAGGAGCAAAGATTTATGATTTTCATTTGCTTTGTAGCTTGTATTGGAATCCGTATGCTGCTTCATGTGGCAGACGGCCGACTTTATAGGTTTATCTTTCCCACCAAAGGCCCTCACTTGCTAAACATGGACAGGCGCTGGAGTACGGCGGGGGACTGCAGACTACTTACTAGAGCTCAGAGACCAAGAGGAGCAGTGATGGATACAGATGGGGTCTGCTCTTACCAGAATGACGGAGTGGGCGGTGGCGGTGTGAGCCTTGGGCGCAGAGCGGCCTAGATTGGCATGTTTGGCACACTTACACAGTCTTGACCGTGCGCCTTACAGGGTAGAGATAGTCTTGCGCCTGGTAGACTCCATAGAGCATACGAATGACCAGTCTCCTCTCCCAGTGTGCACTGCATGGCTACCAGCTGGACTGATAACCAGATAGCAATTAGAGCCTGCTTTGAATAACAAGATATTCAACAGCTAGACCGATTTGGTATCGGGAATTTTGGGTAACCACGAATTAAATCATCAATAATTTGTATTGAGAATGTAGAATGCTACTGGGGTCATTTGAACAGCAAACCTCTGTGCCATATTCTCAGCAGAGTGTGGAATGCTGCAAAAGTACGTTCTGGTTATCTACATTAGATGAGATTGTCTGGAAAATCACCAACCCTGTTAGCAGAAATCCGGAATGGAAAACTTACTCGGGGTCTGTAGATAACCCTATGATTTGCTGTATATCAGGGTAACAGGTTTGATGAGCCTTATCCGTGATATCAAAGTCACCCGACACTGAAGACCAAACTGAGTGCGGAGACTTATTTCTAATTCCGGCCCAGTCCCGGCTGCATTCGGGAACAAGAGCCCCTCAATACGGGGGTGCAGATTGCCCCATACTATCGCCTGATACACCACCTAAGAGCCCTTACGAGACACGTGGGAAGTCTATCCAATGCCCCACAAAGGCAGTGTAACATCACATTATCTGACATCAAGATGTTTTGTTTTTAAAGTTTAGATGACAAGAGCAGGCAAATATACAAATGTAGATATACTTTCAACCTGCGGACAGTATACTTCATGAATGGTGCTCCACCGCACCTAATGCATAAAGAAAGAATAAAGAACGGCGTCATAAAGAATGAAGATTATCTGAGACCGGACCATATCGGTGCACCCTGCGAATGTGTTCCTTCATATTGTCACGTCTGTTGAACCACTTCTGGCAACCATCGCCTGAACAGCAGTGGGCGGCCTTGCAGATATGCATCACCTTCAAGTGCCGCACCAAGTCGCTCTGCCTTCCAAAGGTACCAGAATATTTACACCCCTCCCATTTGCACCGAAGTTCTGCAGCATGGCTTCCAAGGCCAATGTTTAGACATTCAGCTAGAACTAACACGTAAATATCGGAAAGAGTGGCGCCAGCTCACCTCTTTTCACACTCTTCAAGATGAAATGATCCTTTTCGAGATTCTTCATTGCCAGAGCTTGAATTATCGGCAGGGAATGCCACTGTAGAGTCTGATTTGATATCTCTGTGGGCCTGGTGGTTGGATTTGTGTACCATCTCGTCATGGGCAGCATAATCATCGGCAATAAAGCTAGACCCAATGCCATTAACATATTGTGTGCCCATCAAGTCATTATCAGGTGGGAATTGAACGTCTTGCATTGTTTGAAACTGCGAGGAATCACTAAGATCAAATCCAGTGCCTGTGATGGTAGGAAATAATGGCATGGTGGTGGAAAAGTCTTTTGGTGCATCACTCAAAAAGTACTGAGAGGTGTCCATTGATGTCAAATCTCCCAAGGAAGAGCTGAATTCTGGTAGGTTGGGAGACATGGATCCGAGAGCGTATTGAATATTCTCCAGCTTGGTTGAATGGAAAGCGGACATGTTGCCATAAGGTAGCTTAGTTAAAACCAGCAGCTGATGAGACTTTGAGGACGTAGAAGCATTAATGCAAATGCATCACTTGAGCTTGTTTAAATAGAAGGTAATCTTAAGAAATCCTGTTACGCATACCGGATTCTGCTCAATAGCCCTATGAAGAGTGGTGCTTAAATTGCGTCAATGACTGTTGAGCTGGCAATCATTTCCATGGCTGTCAATGGAATAGCAGCCAACAACTAGTAATATATTAATTGAACTGACCACTATCAGATGAATCCACTGTTTGAAAATCTTAGAAATGTCGACAGCTCCACGGCGAGGACATAGGTCACTACATTATGTCTTTGGGGAGATACTCGGTACTCTGTCCATATCCTTGAATATTAATATACCATTATGGACTTTTACCTCAAATGAGATATTAATAAAAAGCAGCAATTACTGTCCACGGAATTGTTGATATTATCATGCACATAGTTCGAGGAGGTACTTCTAAATGACGAATTCGACCGACCAAGGTAGAACAAACTCAGTTGCCTTGAAAGAAAGTGTCAAAAGTAAAGAGAAATCTTTTTAGGCCTTGCATTTGAGCCTTGCGCCGCACGCCTGATTCCATTTACGTTGCGGGAAAGGAAGTTAAATCGCCACCCTCATAATAAGTCATTCACTATTGCTATTGTGTACTGTTCTAGATCCATCCACTCCGCATCTAGCAATAAATAGACAATTTCGGTTCTGGACAGAAGGGCTGGGGCAGCGCCTGATAGTGATGGTGATATCACTATGAAATGATTCTCTGTACCATTTTTTGCGGGAGCCCTAAGGAGGGCCATCTGAATGCTGCGTTCTTGGCCATTTCAACCCAGAAAGCACCTCAATTAAGGCGATAATTGAACTGCCTCTTAGTGAGATCTAAACTATAAAGCCACGCAGGCCAGCAGCCTTCAGGTTGTTTCAACTCAAGAACATTTATTCGTTAACAACAAGATCCCAATATCCTGCAAATCAAGAACAACATGTCTGGCTATATTGAAGGTGATCAGGATGCTGTTACTTATAGACCTCCTTCATACTCACACTTGTGGATTCTTAGGCGCCATTGTTAAGGTCAACCAGCCAGCAGCTGGTATTTATCATGCCACGCAGATATCTGAAGCAGAAACTACTGCAACTTCCCTCAAGGCTCAATCGTCACAACCTGAAGCCCGTATCAATTTCGGGCCACTGAGCTTTTTCGGAGTTCTCACTGTGAATATTCGATCTCTTTTTCTAGTTTGCAATATCTGGTTACTTACACCATGCTACTAAATAGGTCTCCGGCTACGTCGATACTGGCACTTACGAGGCCTCAATTTCAGTCTCCGTACTTGGAATTAGCTTGGGCACTCTGTCTGGAAGCCTTAAGACTGGAATCTCCGTCACGGTCAACCTAATCGCTGTCAAGGGCGAGGTACGGTTTTACCTGAAGAATTCGAATGAACTCTGGGTACATCTTGATCTCAGTGTGGTTTTCGACGGTCATTACGTAGATGATGTCAAAATAATTACTGTCTAGTGGTGGTATCGGTTCAAAGGGCTTGTTCTGCTTTTCGTCTGATTTCAGGTGGGCCTCAGTATAGGTTTTTCTCCTACTCTGTTCGGTTTTCCCTATACCGTGATGCAAATGCAGAGGCTCTTACAGTATTTTCGCTGCTTAATATTACACTATTTCGAAAGAATTCATACCTTAACATCAAAGATCAGGTGTAAATCCAAAGCACTAAGGTGTCCGCAGTTTGTACGCTGATATCAACAAGGTATCATTATTTGTGACAGTTCTTGCACATTGTAAAATCATCATAAAGTCATCAGAAAAGCTGTTTCTACGCTAGTGACGATATATAATCAGACAAGACTCTTCAAAATGAGCATTATATAGCCATAAGACTTGGTAGTCAATGAAACCTGACATCACTTGTCCGGCAGCTTGCACTTTTGAATATAACGAACGCCTTTAGTTGTCTATAGATGGGGTAGTATTTCATTCTAATAGTCATCTGGTACGTACACCACGTATCACAGTTACTGAGAGCGGGTATTGTACTCCAAAAAGCCCAGGCTTGTCTTTTACCAAAAACAGTTTTCGATAATTACTTCTTAGTCAAAGCCACCAAGCTATGGTGAACGTCATCGACTCTACCGATTTTTCGCCCTGTGCCTCGTCAAAGCGACTCAAAATATCCCAAAGCAAAGGACAAGGTGTAGCAAGTCGATTATGTTGAGCCTCAATCAATAAGGATAAGGTTGGCATCCAACACTCACAGTGTCATTCCCAATTGGCACACGTCGAAACCGCCTAATGAAGTGCTAAGTACAGAATGAAAGAGAGGTCATGAGGTAGGATAAGGCGCAAAAGTGCGATCCAGACCGTGAATTGAGTCCATGCTTTTGACCTATTAGTGCAAAGTTTGGAGAGATTTTCAAGAGCCTGGTGACATCAATATCTGTTAACCAAGGCGCGGTAGTCACTTCCAAAATTTCCTCTGGGCCTGTTAATTCCGGGCTTTGTGTTTCAAGTATATATATCCACTTTGTGGAAGGTTCTCTTGTACCACATCGGTCCAACATTATATATACTATTTCAGCAAGAATTATTGGAGATTGCTCCTGCAAGGTACCTAATAATTATTATCTTTGTTCAAAAATGATTCTGGAAACTGTACTTTATGGTGTTCTTCTTTACTTACTGAATTTCGCAATGATGCCTGCACATGCTTGTCCAGGAAGCCAAGGTCAGCGGAAAAGCACTTCACTTTTTCAATACTAACCGTCGAGCTAGATGTTTCCGCTAAAAGCTTAGCCACTTTGACCCTATTTTCTGAATACTGCGCTGCGGCTACTTGTGCAGCAAACTTTAACTCAAAAGGGACAAGGGTTGTATGCGATCCAGGTGTATGCCCGAGCCTAGAGCAAACAGAGACAACCATCATAATTGGATTCAAGGGGTATGGCAGCTATCACATCGACATAGATTCGAAGACTAATGTTATATAGATTTAAGCCGGGTGACACCACTGGCTTCCTGGCACTTGATAGGACCAATAAGCTGATCGTTCTGTCGTTCCGGGGCACCCGAACGCCAGGAAACATCATCACAGATCTTGAATATCAGCAGGTACCTATCGATGAAATTTGTCCAAATTGCCAAGTTCACCATGGTTTCTATTATGCCTGGGGGAACTTCTCACAATTTATAATGCCGTATATCAGCCATGTAGCTGCTGAATATCCAGACTACAGTATCGTTTTTACTGGTCACAGTCTTGGAGGCGCCCTTGCTACATTTGGGGCAGTACTTGAAGGAAGTGCCAACAGACCCATTGGTCTCGTAAGTATCACAACGGAATCAACATATGAAAATCTATCCGGACGAGGTGCTAATGAGGCATTAGTATACTTTTGGATGTCCTCAACTGGGAAATTATAGTTTTTCCGAGTTTGTCAGTGGTCAAACGTTAGACACCGGATGGAGAGTGACTCATACAAATGATCCGGTGCCTAGAATCCTATCTACAACCGCTGTGGTCAACAAGACTTGGCAGTATAGTACAACATCCCCAGAAAACTGGATTACTTCACCCAACGGCGCACCAGTCACAACCACCGATATCCAGGTGATTGAGGGCATTGATAACAAATCTGGGAACCTCGGCCAAGCAACATTTGATCTCAAAGCCCATAATTGGTACATTGGCAACATGAGTGGGTGTTCAATGAAGTAAATATCGGTCACTTGGATCGGCCTGAAGAATAGTGCTGCTTCCACCATGATGTCAAGAAGGGGGCAGTGCAACATTTCCTTCAGAGTAGAAAGATTGAAGTGAACTGAAAAGATTTGGGAAGTTTAACATCATGCTGGGCCGCAAATGTTGGCAATGTGGAGGTACTGGAATTATCCTCGTTGGGGAGACGACAATGAATCTTGCAATCCGTTGTGGCTATACGGTGCGGCCCGTTGCGGGGTACCGACCACACAAAATCAGGGGATGAGGGATATAAAACTCAACCCGACTTGCACTCAGGCCTAGAACCTGGTCTTATATTACTAGTTAAAGCAGCGTTGCCTTGAAAAGTAGGATACTCCGGAACTGTGAGTTACTTAGTGAGTAGGACCCTCAGCGCCCATAAAGCAGCGGCACTCCGATCGGGAAATTCGCATCCGCGGCCTAAAATCAGGTACATATATGTACATATTGTCCTAGCTCTAATTTAGCTTCAATCATTCAGTGCATCTCTCATACACTTCGCCCTGACTATCTTCAGTAGGCCCTTTTTGTGAACGGTTTAACTAGTAAGTAATGTATAGATTGTAGACACAACAACTTTTATGACTTCATCCCTATGTATGACCGAATATTTTAATAACACCAGCAGAAAAAGTACATATCACAGACGCCGTTATCCAAGAACCCCAAAAGAATCAGATCATCCCGAGTTTCATGAGATGGGTATACATCATAAATCCTTCGATTACTCCTTCTGAGCGGCATCAGCCTTAGCGGCATCGATCTCGCCCTGCTCATAACCCTCAGTCTTCATGTCTGTCAGACCTAGATCATCTTCCTCCTCGGCAGAGCGGGTGTAGTCCTCGGTAGTAATCTGGTGGTCGATAGCGGGGCTGCAAATATCCTGGACGTAAGACGAGGCCATCGGGTCTTGCAACGTGATAGCGAACTTGAGCTCGCCGTTGATAGCCTGGTCGAGACGACTGAAGAACCTTTGCCACTTATCCTTATCAGTAGAGACCATGCTGTCGCCTCCGGAGTGTGTGGAATCGTCAACATCGAAAATGGCACCCTTCAACTGGTCCCTGATTTCAACTATAAAAAAGGGTTAGTTGTGTCAATTTAGTAAAATAATGGAGGAACGAACCTAGCAATCCTTCAACAGTGGTGAAACGTCCACCGAGCGTTCCGGGCTGAACGTCCAGGTCAAGCTCGGGACTGTAAAGGCCTGCTGTATCACTCTTGAGAATATCGCGGGAGAGATCGACCTCGTTATCCACCTGGAGAGTGATACGCTTGCCCTTCTCAGGTACCTCACCACCGGTCTTAATTGCAGAAGACTTGTAGCCGCAGTGTCCGCAGTTTGTGCCAAACAGCAGAACTTCCTTGAAGTAAGGGATATTAACTTTCTTAATGTTCACCTCGGCTTCCTTGTTACAACCGGGACATTCGGCAGGAATGGTGTAGACCTGGCCATCGACGATATCGAGATCTTCTGGGTCGCCGGCCCCGACCTGAGCAGTGTCCTCTTGGCTGACGGCGTTGGCGTCAGCGGAAATTCCCAACTCCTCATTCTGTTCGTGGGTACGCGGGTATTCATGGCGCGTGTACTTGTTGCCACGGTCGGTGCTGTTAGGCGCAATCCATGAGTTTCCAGTAAGGTCATCAAGGGAGATGGTGAAGGGGAAAGCGTCCTCGCGACTCATGATCTTTTCAAGACTGGCGATGATAGGAACAAGGGCATTGTAAAGTTCGGGAGCTTGGTCCTTGCGGAGATCTTGCTCTCCTGACAAATTCTCGTGAATGAGTTGAACCACTAGAAGTAAGGAGGTTAGTGTCTTGAAATCAAGCTGTATTTCATTGGGCTTCACATACTGCCTTCCACATTGGTCAGCTGGCCGGTTCCCTTGGGAACTTCGATCTCGTTTCCGAGCTTAGTGGTAAGTTTGAAACCGGAAACATCACTGCGAATGACTTGGCGCTAAATATTAAAGTATCGAATTAGCTTGAGAAGGAGAAGATCTATCATAGCTGGAGATAGATACCTGAAGGTCCTCCTCGTTCTCGACTCTTAAAGTGTAAACCGTTCCACGCTCCTGGATCTGGCCGGCCGATTTGATCGAGTTGTTTTTGAGGTGGCAATGTTCACATTCAAAACTCTCCAGGATAATGTCTCTGAAGTAGGGGACTCGGAGCAAAAGCAGACGCGTGACACTAATTGAAGTGGTTGAAAGTTAGCAATGTGCAATACATAAGAAGTAAATGCTAGAAACGAACCCTTGCTCATGGCAGTTCATGCAAAGCGAGTCGATTGACATTGCGCCAGTGTCCTCGTCACGCTCTACAAGATCACCGGGCTTTTGGAATTGCGACTCAAACTGCGCCTCAAGGGCATCATTGTCGGCTTTGCTGACCATTGTAGAGGATAGGGTTTGTGATAATGAATGAGAAATTAGAAAGAATGAGCACTCTGATATCCGACTGCGAATATTTGTGTAAAAAGTAATATGTGAGGGATGTTGTGCTAGAGCAGGTTGTACTAGAGCAAGAAATTCTTATCGCAAAAAAAAATATCGGAGCCACGGGAACATTCCTTACTGTTCTGCGCGGGGCAGGTGGTCTGAGGGGCTGACAAAGAGGGGGGTGGATGAGGTAATGCATTTCTGCCACAAATATGTCACCGCCCAACCATATGTGAAGAGCGGTGAAACATTAACCTTTATTCATCCTTGTCGAGATCGAGATCTACATGCCGGGCGTGGATAGATGATTGTAGATCTTCATGTACAATGTACATTGTGCATTGCGCATGAATTTAGCTAACTCAAAATTCATCATTCCCAGTTACCATGTTGAATTTTCCATTGGATCCATTCAAACCCTCCAGATCTGCAAATGTAGGTAGTTAGCATAGTCTTGAAATAGAGAGGCTGGGGGCACTTATAAAAAAAAAAGTGGCCGTTTCCACTACCAAGGTAGTAGAAACGGCAGTCCACCGGCTGTCGCCTGGCCAAACATTCTGCTCCCATGTAAAGAACCATCATCAAAACAACGTCCACGTCCCGACGAGAATACAATAGTTCCTTAGGGGTACAGAGATCGCCCGATATCCCATTCGTCGCTTTTCAGTTCACTCGAATCAGACAATGGGGACGAGCCTCGGCCGGGGACGCATAGCAACAGATGAGCATCGTAGACAAGCCAAAGCTTTGATCCTCACTCGAGAGAGGTCCCACGACACCCGCTGCATGATGCATACACGTTAGACCCGACCAAGAACATCGGCCCCATGCCGACTGGAAATGGGCTGATCAATTAAAGCGTTCGAAGGATAGAAACCGTACGTTTCTCGGACCAGAACAATTGCAATCAATCGAGACATAAGAGGGCGAGCATCAAGTACTGGCGCAGACAGGAGTTGAGGAATGCTGGGAGCAGACGACGACAGATGAACATATCCCTCAAACCCACGGAACCATACAACCCCACATAACCCTCACAAAGATAAGCCAAACTTGGCCGAGACACAGTAAGCTCAACCGAATCTGCTTAAACGCCATCCATCTCCGTGCTTTCAGTCAACTCACCATTGTTTCACCGATACCGTCGCATGAGCGCGAGGCCGAGTCTCTCGTGTGTGGTACAGTACCCTTTGAGACAGGTTTTTGTTTCCTCTCCCGGTTGACCCAAGGATCTTCCAGGAGGGCATGTTGTGAAGCGGACAAAGAACATCCAGAAAAACCGCTTCCTTCTTCCCAAGGGAAGGAACAACGATGGAAGTCATTGTTGAAGTCGGCGCCCATCGATCTATTCACAAACTACTTTGCGAAGAGATGGCTAACACAGTCGGTCAGGATCTTCTGACGAAGTCGAATCGGTGGCGGATGCCGTGATACGAGGTGCCTAGCCGCCTGTGGGGCGTAGGAATAACAGAACCCAGGAAGGTGGAACGCAGGGGCAAGATCCCCAGGGATCCTGGAATAGGAAGCATGCGCAGGAGCAGACAGTGATGCTAGCAAAATTGACGAGAAAATGCAGGCAAACAAGTTCGAAAAACATGAAATTGCTTGGGGAAATTTGTGGCCAGCCGGAACGAGACAACAGTTCGCAATCTTTTATGTGCTCCGGAGACCAACATCAAAGAATCATAGGGCAGCATAACCAAAGAACCTCGCGACAACTTCAACTTTGAAAATGCCTGGGCAATTTTCAGGGAGAGGAATGTTGATTCCGACGAGTGGATCCTTTGGAAATGCTGACACTATGACTATGTGTAAGGATACTGCTGTGTTCTAGGCACCAAATCTCTGGGCCAAGCAATTTGATGCCCTAGGATATTCGAGACTTAAATGTCGCATTTAACCGCCATCCGGTTGCGCTGTCGTGATTGCTCCTAAAGGTGACATCTGATACCGAAGTACCCGACATGCTTCACCCACGTTCTCTTCTCGTTGAACTGGTATCCGAGGCATAGGTCGACCATCCGTTTGTGACCGGCATGCAGCGTCCAGCATTGGTAAACCGACGCGGTCTCCATTTGGATAACGCATAGTAAACCGTCTTTTGTGCCCGAAGGCTCTGGCTAGATCGAATATCTTTCGCTTAATCGGACCATCACAGTCTGTTTCAGCTAATCGTATTATCCGGCATGCGCAATCCGTGAAACTGTGTCCGTGAGGACATTGAACCGAGGAGGGCTTAGGGCTTGGCTCCAATGTCTTCTGCGCCGAAACATACGTGACGGTTGCCATTGAAGGCAGCAGACGAAAATGAAGATCTGAGAGGGTTGATCTGTACATGTGTGCCTCGGAAGGCAAGAGACTCGAGTGGCTCCACACTCAGGAAACGGTCGCGGTCGAACTCTGGCACGTCTGAATTGAAATTGGGTCCAATGAATGTTGTAAAAACAAGCAAGATTCGTGGTAATTGAGGAACTGGCCGCGGCAGTTTGAATCGTCGGTTGAGAGGGTGTGAAATAGGCAGTGAATAGAGTAGAGGGAGTTGGAGACAACAACAATGTCTTGGCAGTTGACGCGACTATACCTATGCGGGTAAGCGCGACGGAGCCACGAAACTGACGCGACTATCACATGACAGCTACGTGAGTTTATGTTCGTGTTTGATTATGTAATCAACCACGAACGCCAAGGCTACAATCGTTCATGATTATTCATGCACTTTTGGACCTGGACAATATCGATGAGGCAAATACCCTCATTGGCATAAATTTGGCATGATTGGATCTCACAAGTATTCATGATGGGAGGTCCACAGCAGATTCGTGAAGCTTTTGATATTGCTAAGGACTTTCTGACCCCAGTCCTTGATCGAGGTATGCATGTTCATGTCAAGCTACATTTAGGTATCTGGCGCTGACTATTTTGTAGAGGAAATACAGAAGACCCAAGGTAAATCTTTACTGCAGATCCTCAGTCAGTCTTCAGGGGATGATGATGGTGCTGGTGATGAAGCCGCCAGACCAACTGTAATCAATGAGGCTTTGGATATCTTGACCGGTATCCACAAATCCTTTGTTTCGCCTGATAACCCTTATGACTCCCTTCAATTAAGCGGGGAGTTTGAGGACTCGCCATCAGAAGATGCCAAGCGCCGTCGAATGCTACATGCATTGTTGGACCTGATTTCCCTCGAAGGAATATATCCTTCGTTGTCATCTGGCGTTGGGATTCCCCTGCAGCAGCGGGTCATCTCGGTATTACCAGCCGGTGTCATTGCAAAGCAGGCTCAAGCAGCTGCTAGCAGTGTACCGCACGACGAGCCTCTTTTGCGCCGCATAATCGATGTTTTGGTTGACGTTCTCTTCGACCCGAGACCAAGCCTCCAGCCGATCATTCGTGGTCGTATCTTGAGTGACATAATCAGTGGCACATCTGATCTAGCTTGTAATCCAAATATCGCGACATCGTCTGACCGGAACACGTATCAGCAAACGTTAGCCAAGATAATTGATGAGTATGTTTCCATTCTTCTGCTATTACTGCTATTACTAGGTTATTAACAGCTTACAGTACCCCAACAACTGTCCTGCTGCCCACATTATCCGCATTCCTCCAGTCGAATACTGCGCAATGGTTCAAATCAACAATCTCCAGCCAGATCTCGCAAGTTCCGCTACGACCCGGAGGAGTAGTGCAAACCATCATGTTCATTGCATCGCAATTTTCGCCATCGCTAGGCCAGGAAGCACAGGACCAATCAAATGGCCCTCGTTTGACTGTACAGGCTATCATGCAAATCTCACGACTCCTTTCCTCTGTTCCATCGGATGTTGACCCAACTGTCTATTTTGAGACAATTGCCCCCCAACTGTTAGCATTGATAGACGGCGATGATCCAGATCTGAGGAAAACTGCATCATATGTTGTCGGAAATGGGATTTTGGGGAAACGTGCTTATGGCGCTCCTGGCACTGTTGGCCACTCCATCTTTGTGGAGCCGATATTCAATGCACTTACTGCGAACCTCGATGCTAAATCAAGGCGATGGATTAGTCGTTTCACCGATATCGAAGGCTCTATACCAGACCCGGCGGAGCCAAATCCCGCATCCAATGTCTTGGTGGATGGCGCCATGGTGGATCTGGCTTTGAACAGACTGAGGTGTCTGACACTGCAGCATCCAAATCCTGGTCTCGTAAAACGAATCGTGTATCCGATTCTTCTTCCATTATGGGGCTTTATCTGTTTTTCCCAGGAGGCAGGGTTGACTTCATTCCATGAAAAGGTATTACCCCTGCTCCAAACATACTTTGGCATCTCTGTTGGAGTCCAACCCCTCAAAAAGCTGGTTGACAACCTTCTTTGGGATGGGGGCGCGACATGGACATACAATAAATATTCCGACGCTGGAATCGCGTTGCAGAAGCGAAGTGAGAAGACAAACGAGCATTCAAATCTGGTGCGGTTGATCGACTCCCTCCAAGCACGAGCAGAACTATTTGTCAGTCTTATTGGCTCGGACCCTAGCAGCGAGGAACGGACCGGTGATATCTTCCTGTATGTCAGTCAAAACTGGCTAGTGCAGCCGCAGAGCCCTGCACCCCCTCGCAATACATTGAATGGAGGTCCCATTGGTGAAAGTGACAACATCATTCAAAAGCTTGTCAGTGCCAAGGTTGCAGAGAAGCTGCTCGAGAACTTCAAAGAAGCACTTACTCGACGCCCGCTCCGAGTTTTAGAGCTCATCAAACAAGTCATTGACGGGGAGCTACATAGACTTAGCGCGCAAAGAACAGCAATGCAAGGCAAATTAAATAGCAAGGTGTCCCTGTCATCTTTAGCTAACATCGTGGAAACCGGGGACAAAGACGCGGAGCAATTAGACAACGACTCCTCTGAATCCGTTTCTACAGCCTTCAGTTTGATGTCTACACTTCTTGCATCCGCTGAGTTCTCTCCCACTGCTGAAATTCAGCCCCTTCTTGAATCGCTTAAAAAAGACCTCGATCAACTCATTCCCTTTCTCCCTTCCGCCCTTTCCAAGCCAGCAACGACCTCGTCTATGTTGCTGGAGATTCACCTTGCCGGGGCTGATGAAACCGCAATCAAGGCAGTACCAGCTCATATTCAGGACCTTGACACACATCGTCAAGCACTTGCGAATCTCAACTCAGATCTACCACCCGTCCAGGCCGAGGGCCTGTCACTGATCTCAAAACTGATCACGAATTCATCACCCGTTCTTGATGTTGGATCAACCCTCACCCTCCTCCTCTCAGTCATCACCGACACAACCAAGGCCGCTGGCAACGACGAATACGCATATCTCGGTGCAATCAAGATAGTTGGTACATTAGCATCACGTCATCCACGTACCGTGATTAAAACTTTGATTGAAGAGTACGCGGATAGACGGGAACAACGGGCATTGGACGAAAGACTTAGGATTGGTGAGTCTCTGCTTCGCACAGTCCAGGACTTAGGAGACACACTAGCCGGCGAGACGGCCAAAATTCTTGGTGAGGGTATCATTGCCGTCGCAGGACGGCGTGGCAACAAGCAACACGCACAGCAAGCCCGCAAGAAGCAACTTGCCAAGGAAAGACGGGAACAGGAACGCGCGCAGCGCAAGGAAAAAGAACCGGCCATGCCCGAAGGCTGGTCCATTTCATCTGGAGTAGCCAAAGCTGCTTCCGAACTTGACCTCACAGAACTCCATTCGGACGACGAATCCCCAGAGCAATCAGCGTATGCCACAAACGTCGTCGCTGCATGGGCTGCCGGCGCATCCGCAGATGATGCTCCTGATGACCTTCGCATCCGCGCATCGGCCATTTCCATTCTTGGATCAGCCATCAACGTCAACATCTTGGGTCTTGGACCTGCCATTCTTTCATCCGCTGTCGAACTCGCGCTCGCTACCCTAACCCTCGAGAGGGAGCCAGAGAGTGCCATCCTCCGGCGGGCGAGTATTGTTTTGATTTTCGACATTCTCAAAGCTCTCGAGGCAGCGCGGGAGACACGCGGGAACCGGGACATTGGGTTCGGATTTTCGCTTTTGGATGATTCGGCTTCAAGCTTTGGGACTCCATATGGTTCTAGCACGCAGGGACAGTCGACCATTGGTAATATCCCTACTATGCTACGCACGCTCCGCTTCGTCGAGGGTTCCGAAGAGGACGGGCTCGCTCGTGGAAATCTGCGCGCTTTGATTGAAAGTTTGGAGGCTTGGTCGGAGAAGTCTTTGATGTGGGGCATTGGTGCTCAGGATGATCAAGATGCCTTCAATCCACAATTTGGACTGGGTGACAGGATCGCCGGTTTGCAGGTTGATCCCATGGCAGCAGAAATCAGTGGACGCCCGCGTATCGAGGAGATTGAATGAAGCCAAGAGCTCAGATAGAATGGGATTAATAATTAAAACTTTCTACAAATCAATATTCAAAGTCCATTAAACATCAATCTTGGAGATAGTAGGTCAATATAGGGCCGGTGAATGCTGAATCTAAACTTATCCTATCAGATCTCCCTTAGATATATCCAACTGAGGTGCAGCAGATATCAACAACGAATCAGCTCTCAGATTCGCCTGTTCGACTAGCATCATTGGTCTAGTGGTAGAATTCGTCGTTGCCATCGACGAGGCCCGTGTTCGATTCACGGATGATGCACATCTTTTTTGTTTCGAATTTATTCAATTCCCGTGAACTCCACTATATTCTTTTTGCTTAATTCGTGGAGTTGATGTGAGAAAATAGTTGGGGGAAACTTGCTGCCTGTGATTTAATGAGTACGATTTATATGCAACATGGTTTAATCCACAGCTCACAAGATTATAAAGAATAAGTAGAAACTGAAGTGGTTGGCAGATGAAAAGGCCTAACCAATAAACATATATATTACCATTTCAGAGAGCAGATTGCTGGCCGACTTGAATTGGATTCTCATCTAACTCATTGATTTGGGAGACACTAGCAACTGATAGAAGACAGACTTAAGGCAAAAAATTGAATAAAGAAAGTGACAGAGGACACTCCACCCTAGACCCATGCTGAATGCAGGTAGAACACGGGCTATGTACAAGCAGAGGAAGCTATTTTATCGAGTCACTACGATACAGAAACCGAGGTCGTAAACACCAAACTAAAATGATCCATCGTGCCCACAGTGTGGATTCATAACTTCATGTAGATACATACAGAGAGCAAAGCAAAAGAAACTGGTAAAAGATATTTTCTCAAAGAATTCTCACTTCGGATTCACATCGGCAAAACACCACCAAAAGAAAAGAGACAGAAAAGCGCGCTATGTAGCCGGAAGAGGCAAGCACTGGCCAAATTACCAGGCATCATTACTCTGAGCTGATGGGCCGGAGTTGCCACGCCCACCACGACCACTGAAACCACCACGCCCAGGACCACGTCGACCACCCCGACCGCGGCCGCCACGGCCGCGTCCACCACGACCACCACGGTTGCCCTGGGAGTACTGACGAGGTTCTTCGGGGCGCGGGCCGGCCTCCATGCGAGCCTGACGTTCTTCCTCGCTCATGTCAAACTTGTTCTCGATTCCAATCAGATTGCAGAATGCAGAGGTCTGCGGGTTGGTGTACTCCTTCGGCTGTTCATATGTGTTGATTGAAACACTAGGGTCATAGATGGAGGCAGTCAGGATAAAGTCAGTGGGAATGTTCAACAATCCAGCGTTGACAACATTCTCCTGTACCCATTCCTCCTCCTCAGCGATACGCTGTTGGTAAAATTCATATCCCTTGTGGGCAGGGACGCTGCTTTTGGGGTGTCCACCAAACTCGAGCTCATCAGCAAAGGCACGAGTAATCGCCAGCCACTCCTTGTCGTACTTCAGTCGCAGGGGAGACTCTACCGCGGCATCGTCCTGTTCGGAGATTGCCTCAATCTCCAGCAGTTCGACGAAATCATCATGGTTATGTGGTTTATCCAAGGTCAGGAACTGGGTCACAAGATTCTTGATGTCCTCCGGGGCTGGAAGGCGTTCGGAATCCGAACGATTTGCGGCAGCCTTGGGTAGAGACGACTGAGCAAGGCTGGTCGGGAGTTCGGCTTCTACTTCGTGAACTCGATCATCCACGCCATCGCTCCACCAGGTATCACGAGGGCGGTCATCACTCCAATTTAGAGAGATGTCAGCTTTTGGAAGAGCCTTCTCGGCCGGAGGAGATTTCACGCTCGCAGCGCTGCTGGGGCTGGTGGAAATGCTGATCTTGTCAATATTGTCCGCGACATCATTGGTCGTGTTGACATCTTGGGTTGTCTTGGCATGCTTGGTCATCTGGGCATCATCAGTTGTCTGGATATCGTTGCTTGTCTCAGCAAACAACGAAGATCCCTGCTTGGCAGCCGCCTCCTCGGAAGAGGGAACCACAGGGTTGTTTCCCTGGCTGACTTTGTCGAGGTCTTCGATGTTCTCGCCGTCGATGGGGGCGGATTCGACCCTTTCTCCGTCGGCGCCACGTACAAATGTCTGAACGGGACCCCCGCCAATCTTGGCTGTTTCGCTGAACGTAATGTTCCGCGGAGGTTTCGGCTGTCTCGCCCTGACCATTCGCATGAACTCGTCTTGATCCCGTTTCTCTTTCTCAGCCCGTCTGGCGATATCTCCGAATTCATTCCAGGCCTTAATGCGCGACTGTTCGTCTCCAGTGGCAGTACCGAGAAATTGGTGGCCAGCAAGGGTGCGAGTGTTGAGATTACTGTGTGGAATAGGAGCCGCATCATTCGTATCGGAGGTGGCAACAACAGGATTGGGGGGGCTCAGAGAAGATGTGGAATTTGCACGAGGTGGGTTATGGGCCACCTTGGCAGTATAACGCACATGCAGATGAGCTGAAAGCCAGTATGCAGGGCGCAAATGATTCAGGGCTTCGCGTGCAGCGACACTTCCGAGCTTTCCAGATTCGGAATCAGCCTTGAAGCCTGACTTCTTGCGAAACAAGGTACCATAGTCTCCGAGCTTCTCGACCCCCTTCGGCCAATCATGAGACAGCCCGACGTCAATCTGGGTGCGCACTTGCAGCAACTTGCGGACATCCAGCTCACGAATATGGTAGATGGAAGAAACATCATCTCGGTTGTACGGCAATCGTTCATAGTGAGGCTTCCGATAGTCATAGCCTTTCCAGATGCCCGACATCCCCGAGATTCGGAGAGGTCCAAAGCGGACGATGTTGGCTGCTCCCATGAAGTAGATGTTGGGGGCCACCCAACCGCCGTAGTAGAGCTCGGAAAGGTGATTGCTCGCCTCATGATTGCCTCCGATGAACAACGTCAGATAGGGAGCGGCACGGGCACCACTGTAGTACTCATGAAAATCGCCGATTTGCTTGAACTTATCGGGAACCGAAAGACAAGTCGCATCATTGGCATTGCGTAGAGCCTGGTTTTAGTTGGTCAATATTGAGCTCGTGTGGAATGGGACATGACAGGGTACTCACCTGGAAATCTCCACCAATGATCACAAGATCAACAGAGTCCCAGCCTTTCTCAGTGGCTTTGCGATCCACAGTCTCATAAATGTCGTTGAGACTGCCATGGCCCTGTATAAAATGATTAGCAACCAGTTGTGAAGTGGATATGTCACATGAATTGGTAATCTTCATTCATGCAATGATACTTACACAGCCTTCGACAGCAATGCGTACCGGTGCCATTGTCGAAGAATCCGACTAAGTTGTCGGATTGTGATAGCACTGAAAAAAAAAGACAAGCCTCAGAATGAGACTGTCAGAAAAGGAAATTTGAAAGCAAATTCCTGTGACAAAAAGGTGAGAGCTACAGGAAAGAAAATGTAAGGTAGAAAGCGAGAGAAGAGTGGTCCATGAAAGATGGAAAGGGTAGAGAGTAGAGAGAGATGTAGATGGGAAGAAGCGGCGGGTGGAGCTTGGGGCTTTTAAGCTCCCGCGCGGCAAATCTCTGAATAGCAAACGCTGGGCTATTGTCTTCCGTTTGTCCCCATTGTTCTCCGTTTGTCTCAATTCTCTTTGTTATTGAGTTGACAATTGTTTCAATTTCCCAATAATATTCTTTTTCCTCAATAGGAAATACCACACAATGTCTCACATTGATCCTTCCTTCCTCATTCAGGCTGCCTCGGCTGTGGCCCTCGGTTCGTCGACATCGGCTTATCTGCTAGGGGTGCACACCCGACTTCTTCACGAGGAGTCTAAGTCATTGAATATGTTACAGAAGAAAGATCACTGTGGAGCGTGTGGTAGCATTAGAAACCCCCAGTGGAGTAAAGTCACTGAGATCAAGCCGAAAAAAAGCAAGCCTTTAACCTCTGGATCGGCATCTGCGGGTGCCACGGTGTATAAGTGTTTACGCTGCTGCCAGAGGACAGTACTACCTCGAAGGAAATCAAGGAATCCTATCTCGAAACCTTCGTCTAGAGGAGCTACGGCTACGTCTACTCGGGGGTCAACTCCTGTAGGGATTGACGTGAAAGGGTCGACACAGGTGTCAGCAGATCCCAAGGCAGGCGAGAACCAAAGCAGCAAGAAGAGAGCCAAAGCAAGAAAACAAGGTGGTCTTCAAGCTCTTCTAGCCTCCAAACAACGTGCTCAACCCTCACTCGATTTGCTCGACTTTTTGCAGTAGAGGTTGCGCACGTGAGTTTGTTGCTAGATCGGGACTAGCGCGGGGCAGCTAGCTTGCCTGCGACTCCAGGTTCCGTGACGGTGAACCCCAACACCACATCTCCAGCGTGTGTGTCCGCAGAGTCAACCGCGATTTCTCTTCCCTCATTTCACCCAACTACCTATTTTGTGGTTCCATCATCGCCACAATGTCGTCTTACTCGGACGACGACGAACATGATCCCCAGGCGGACGAGCTCCGCGAGACCGCCTTGGTCACGCTTGAAGCGCTGATCAGCTCTTGCAACAAACAGATGCAACCGTACCTAACGAACACCACTCGATCAGCTCTTCGGTTTTTGAAATATGATCCAAACGTTGCCGAAGTGGAGGACGATGAGGAGATGGGAGGCACACAGGACGATGGGAGTGAGGACGATGCGACGGAGGAGCCCGACCTGGATGACGACGAATTCGAGGACTTTGAAGAAGAAGGCGGCTACAGTGATATAGACGACATGAGCTGGAAGGTACGCCGGTGTGCTGCCAAGCTTCTCTACACCGTCATCTCTACCTATGGGCTTGGTCGAGCTTCGGACGCCTCGGCCCTGTTTCAGCAGATTGCCCCAGCTCTGATCTCTCAAATTAGCAAGGAGAGAGAAGAGAGTGTGAAACTTGAGGTGGTGTCGACATTGACGGCGCTTGTTCGGAAAACCGGCGAGGGCTCCATGATCGTCACCTCCAATGACTTCCTGGAGGCCGTGGGTGGCTCGAAGAATTCTCGGAAGCGCAGACGCCAAGATAGTGATGCGTCAATGATTGACTTTGAGCCGAGTGCTGGAACTTCGTCGGCAATTGATTCTCCTGCTGTGCCATCGTCCCCCAAGTCTGGTTCGCAGGCTGATCTGGCTCGCTCCGTCCCTTCAATTGTGCAAAACCTCGTCAAAGTCTGGAAGCAGGCTTCGATTCCTCTCAAACAAGCCTCGATTGTTCTCCTCAAAAGCCTTTCCTTGGTTCGCTATGGTGGTCTTGCAGACCATCTCCAACAAATTGAAGATCTCATTGCAGATGCTCTCAAGACCTCATCTCTCTCGGGTAGCACAGCAGCTCACACTGGGGCTGCCGTCAGCGCAGGTACCCTCCAAATCGAAACCCTGGGTCTCATTGCAGTGATCGCCGAGACCCATCTGTCCGACGCGCTATTGCCATTCCTGATTGCCCTGGTGCCCGGAGTGGTTGGAGCCGTCAACGACCGTAACTACAAAGTCAGTAGTGAGGCTTTAGGCGCCGTGGAGCAAATTGTGAAAGCAATCACACCCCCACGCGTATCTGCCAATCCTTCCGATGTCACTCTGCAGCTGCAGAAGCTCTACGATGTTGTCAACTCTCGAATCACCGACACAAGCGCAGACCTCGAAGTCCGTCAACGGGCAATTCATGTATTTGGTGTCATTCTCGCACGCACCTCGGGAGAACGAGGTGTAGCATTCCTTTCATCTGAGAGAAGATCTAATGGTCTGGCTGTTTTGGTCGACCGGGTGAAGAACGAGACAACTCGTTTGTCCGCTGTACGTGCGATTGATGATATCGTCGTTCTTGCCAGCCGCAAGCAGGATGTTTCTAGTGATTGGGTCAACAATGTTGCCCTTGAGCTAGGGTCGAACTTGCGCAAATCCGATCGTGCCTTGAGAGGCGCGTGTTTAGAAACTCTCCGCAGTCTTTCCATGAACTCGAACATCAGATATCACCTCACCCCTGAGACGATCACAGCACTAGAGAATGCCGCTTTGCCTCTTCTCGCTGCAGCTGATTTCCACACCCTTACGCCTACGTTGATTATTATTGCCAAACTTGTCCCTGGCAACGGAAAATTAATGGTCACCAGCGGTTTGATCTCTTCTATCTGCTCAATTGTCACTAAACCACTCGTCGGAACTGTGCTCAAAGCATTGTTGCTACTGGTCAAAGTCATTGGTGACGAAGGTGCGGGTGCTAGTTTGATGCAGAATCTCCTTCGTGACGTGGGAATTACAGGGGACTCATCTGTGGTCGGAAGAGCCGTTGGCACCCTTCTGGTCCACGGTGGATCGAATCTCGGAGTTACAATGGAGGATTTCTCAACAGAGCTCAAAACTGCACGGGATGATAGCCGAAAATGCCTCGCCCTTGCTATCCTGGGCGAAATCGGCCTGCGTATGGGCCCAGAGTGCTCGTTGACCCCGAGTCTTTTCATTCCCCATTTCGAATCTCAGTCAGATCAGGTGCGCTTAGCTGCTGCCACTGCTCTCGGCAATGCGGCCGCAGGTAGCGTCAAAGCCTATCTCCCAATCATTCTGAATGGGTTGGAAAAGTCAAATGCTCAAAGCTATTTGCTTCTCCATTCGGTGCGAGAGTTACTTCAGCATCCCGAGGTCGTACGCCCGGATCTTGCATCATCTGCTCACAAACTGTGGCACGCTCTCCTTGTCGTCTCTGAGGAGGAAGACAACCGGGCTGTCGGGGCTGAATGTGTAGGCCGCTTGGCACTCCTTGACCCTGTTGCTTACATTCCCCACTTCCAAGTAAGTCGTGCTCATTCTTCTACGTTATCAATACTGACCTCATGTTCACAGGAGTACCTGGCCAATACCGACCCAGCTGTTCGTGGTGTGGTGATTTCGGCATTCCGCTACACGCTTGCTGATTCAAGTGATGCTTACAACGATGTGCTGCGACCTTTGATGGTGCCACTATTGACCAACATGCTTGGAGACAGTGACTTGGGCAACCACCGGCTTGCCTTGACTACTCTTAACTCTGCAATTCATAACAAGATGGATCTTCTACTCCCTCACCTCGATGAGCTTCTACCAGCTGTTCTTGGTGACACCAAAATCAAGCCAGAGCTCATTCGCGAGGTACAAATGGGTCCATTCAAACACAAAGTTGATGATGGGCTCGACTTGCGAAAGGTCAGTATCTCTTATCATCCCCCATACGTCCCCACTAACATCCTCGTTTACAGAGTGCCTATGAAACCCTTTATGCCTCGCTCGATACGTCCTTCTCCCGTACCCATATGGCCGAACTGTTTGACCGCGTCGTCGCGGGTATCGATGACGAACAAGACATCCGTGCAATCAGCAATCTCATGACATCCAAACTGATTAAGATCGCACCGGAGGATACTGAACGGCATCTAGATGCTTTGTCAGAGCATTACACCTCTGTGCTTTCCTTCAAGCCAAAAGATAATGCCGTCAAACAAGAGTTGGAGAAAGCCCAAGAGGCATCGCTCGGCATTCTGAAGATTACAAGAGAACTGAGCAAGGCATTCCCCGGTGCGGAATCATCCGGGGATCTTCACAAGTGGAAGACATACATGGAGTGGGTTCGGCGGACATTTTCCCCGCAGTTGACGAATTTGGAACTGGAATCCTGAATTTGACACAATGGAAGTCAAATCCTGGACGGTTTCAATGATTCTACGTGATCAAAAACACAATGGCGAGCTATTTCCCGCAATTAAGCTGGCTTACGACATAGCTCAATGAAATACATGATCTTAATCCCGCTGTACTTGCGACCTTAGCTTTGTAAATATGCCCGGAGAGCACGCCTTGACTACTATAGCAAATACCTTTTAAGGGTATGACGAGAATGTGGTTTTAACCCACCGTGATGCTTCTAGTAGGGGATTTATTCTAGATGTTCGGGTCTTTATGGCAGTAATTTTTTTCGATACTTAATATTAAAATGCAGGATTACACAGCATGTAAATCGCATGTAGGAATCGCTGGCAAATCAATTGGAGTAAAACAATACTGCCTGAAATAAAGTTGCAAAAATGTCTCATTTTGACTTCTCTTCCACTCCCGTAGATACAGAACTCCCTCATTCATTTGTAAGAAAGACAGAAAGGCCTCTTATCTCTTGATCTATCAGATTCCATTTGACTAAAAGCAGGCCCAACTGGAATGTCCACTTGTGATGCGGCAACATGCAGTTTCTATGCAGAAACTGGTGATGAAGATGTCAAACTGCATCAAAGGCACCTAGAAAGATAACACCAAGATAGCACTCAGATAGTAAGAGGACATTACAGGTCAACCTAGATTTATCTCGACTGTATAGCAGGGTTTTCTACAAGGGTATCCATCTTGAATTTAAGCACGTAGGAAATATTCATTGTGAGCATCTTCAAATATCTTACTTCAGCTCCCTTCCTATAATCCATAACTCACTTTCCAAGAAAATAATCACCGCTACTTAGTTGACTCCTCTTCCTTCTTGATCGGAGTCGTCTCGGTCTCGGAAGTAAGTTCTTCTGGAAATGGCTTGCGCGCCCACACACGTCGTCTAAACGATGATCAGCATGTCAACCCCCTCCAAACCACACCACAGGGGTATCCCAAACTCACGCTCTGTGATAAATATGATATCTTGGGTTCTTAAGTTCCGAACGAACCTTGGCCAAATAGACAGTAACCTCATCCTTGGACCAAGGATGAGGCTCACCGAAGGAGGTAAGCAACCGCATACACCATCCCTCCATACCCGAAATCCAATGTTGGAAATTAACAACGCCCGCCTCTTTGTATTTCTGATCTCGAGCCCACGGGCCAATCGGCCACCGGTATGGCTTCTCTTGGAAATCCACAAACCCAGCCTTCTCCATCATGCCGCGCATGCCATCAAGAGTATCTAGCTTGAGTCCGCCCCGCGCACCGCACCCATTCATGGTCGGGCCCCAGGTTCGCAGGATGCTATCTGCTGGCAAGCTGTCATCATCACATTCGATGTGTATATCACCTTCAAGTTGTTCGATCCAGCCTCCTGGTCGTAGATGTCTACGAGAGACCCGATGTTAGTGCACATGGTTGGGGGGGTTAGGACATGTGGGTGCTTTACTTAAAGGAGCTTGCGTAGACGTGATCCCATCCCGCGGGATCGAACGAGCCAGTCATGATCCGCATGTGGATTAGATCGAGGGGTTGTTTCCAGGTCCATTCCTGTAGGACGTTGTCGACTTCGAGGATGCAGTTGGGCGGCATCCATGTGATAGGAGGTGGGAAGAGGTCAACTCCTCGGACGGTCGCTAGATGGTGTTAGCTCGCCACATTGGGGATACCTTTGGGATTGACACTCACCAGATGGGAACATGTCGGCAACATCGCTATATAAGTGTTACATTGGTATATGTCCTGTCTGTTACGAGAAGAGGGGGTTCTCTGCCGACGTACATAGCCCAGTTACCCTTACCCGTTCCAATGTCGAGGATATGTTTAGGATTCTTCCCGACAGGCGCTCTAAAAAGCGGGTTCTCTCGCTCTGAATCTAAAATGAGAGCGAGCAAGTGACTAAGAGTGTTAAGGTTAATAATGGCATAGAGAAAGGACATTTGTACGTACCCAACTTCGTAGGACTCGAATGCCAGGTCATCGGAGGGAATCCTGGTGAGAACCGTGTATTAATTGACAGCTTCTTTAGTGGCGGATACTATGGCATGCATACAGATATTCTTTGTCGCTCAGCGTTTGATACCTGGGGATAAAAGGTACATGTAAGCAACGGGCGGAGCCCCGGAGTGCACCAAATGTACGATGAAAACATACCGTCTGCCATTTTCCATCAAGCCTTTATAGATTGAGGAACCGATAGACGTTGTCTCCCTGGCATTGTGTTAGAAATTAATGATATGAAATACCGGGCTAGATGTGGGTATTTACGACTGCCAGTCATCGCCATACTCGCCTGACACGTAGACATCCGGATCCTAGACCTTGTTAGAATAGCGAGGAGAACAGGTGAGCGACGAGTATACCACTGCAATCCGTGGTGAGTTTGGCATGGTTCAATATCTTGCCCCTCAGGATGGTAGGAAGGAGGGTGGAGGGAGGAGACCAAGGGGCCGTTGAAATGCTCATCGGTACTAATGTCCCACGGGTTTCACCCGTTTGTCCCGCAATCCTGTAGCAGTTTCAATAGTTGTAATTGGGTGATGGGATATAAGCGCCATTTCCTGCTCCACGGCTGAAGCCTAAATGGGGTTAGTGCAGTGCTAGCCACGTCGTGCGGATATTCCCGTCGACGATCATTGGATTGACGTTGCAGGGGTGGGCTAGAGCCACATGTTTGCTGAGATTCTGACCTCCACCGCGATGATTAGACAGAGATAAATAAGTACGAAATTCAACAGAAGTTTACTCTTTACACTGCGCTGGGCCTTGAGACTTTTTTCTAAGGAGTATTCGAACTATGGATAAACGGAAGCGTGCATTATGCAGGTTTGACAACTAGCGAACATGAAATGCATGTCAGCCCATAGATTAGGTAAACCTCCTAGCGCGCTTTTCAAGACTAAATAATGTCAACATATCCAAGGAGGGGGGGGGGGGGNATACTGTAAGGATGTAGGGCAAGGTCTCTGATATTGGAACCATAGAATGAATCCATAAAATTAGAGGGAATAATATATAATAGTATTGCCATGAGACACAGTAAATCAGAGGGTTCTCGATCATAACGGTCATCGGCAATTACGTATATTCTATGGTGACCTGCACATCTAGGTCTAAAATAAATAGCCCTAATTGATTCTGGGCTGCCCTAGGTTCGCACTGAGGCTTCATAAGTCCGAATCCTACCGATAGTAAGTGAAGTGAGACTGCTCCGGCTTACAAACGAATAATGAATACATTTATGTTAGTGTATCCTCAACATAATAGGGACGGTAAAATGAGCTGCCAATGTTTGATTGGGCGTGTCTCGATACAGATTCTTAGGTTGAAAGGATTTCTTGAATACATTGATGGTACTAATGAATTAATTTAGTAAGCTAAATCAAATCAGATAGTAAACTTTCCCAAAAGTATGGGTTCAGCGCCAGGCCTCTATAAAGCTTCGTATCTTGTAAATATCTAGGTATAAGACAAACAACTAGACTGTCTTGATTAACCTCTCAATGAGGGTTTTTTGATCAAATTGACCTTATTATTATTAAGCTGATTATCTTTACACGATAGACGTAATAGCTCTTCATCACCTAGCCCTGTAGATATTCCGTTCCTTTGAGATTATTCATTCTTTAACTACTACGATATAGTGCTAGAGAGAAAAATTGATGAAAAGATAGTGATTTAAATATAGTAATGTTGATGGTAATACTACATCGGGAAGCGATCGGCTCCCAAGGTCCGATTCTTGACTTACTAAACTGATTGACTGGGCTCTTGGAGAGAATGCGGGAGGAACTGAATTGGGCCGAGAGAGATCAACTAAAACTGACCGTCACAATCGCTATGGAAGGCTATCGCAGGTGGCTGGGGAGGTTCATTAAGCTTCCAGACGAAGTGGCAAGGTTTCTCTACGGCTCTGGTGAAAATCCTGTGAACGGAGGAGATACATGCGGCCCCAGAAGCGGATGGGGACGAGCCATGACCTTTTTGAAGAGGAGTATACTCGGCCCAACGTCAGTGTCCCGGATCTTAGGAAATTAGGAATCGTTCGTTAGGGATAGGAGCCAGCTGACCTCGAACATAAGGTCTAAAAATTTTGATCGTTTCTTTTAGATGTCCTTCTTGCAGATATTTCCCCCTAAACACTGTCATTGCTGGCATATAACTTTTGATGATGTAGTTCCATTTAACTTTCGACACGGGTATTTTGGAGGATATGGGAGGAATAATATTGACCACGTACACATCGATGATAGAGATATGTCTCTGTATAGCAAACAGGCATAAATAGGCATGTACTAGCAACTCTAAAGGAGGAAGATGGATGGGAGGAGCTTAGGCAGCATACACCTCACCTAGGTAGCAATAGCGTGACGGCGTGTATTACACTTCGCCTGGTCATTGTTTACCCCAAACATTCATCACCCACTGCACGATTTCTTAACTCTTCAACTAACGTCCATTCGTCCATTTGGTTTTACTGTACCCCCGTCTAATCAAAATGCCTACTGACTTCTTCACGTTGAGACATCGTGATCGCCAACGGGCCGCTGCTTACCTACAGGCCCGCAGTAAAGTCATCACCGCTATGGGCGTGATTTACAAGCAAGTCGAAATCTACAACTCCGCCCAAATCAACCCCGCCTCCTACAAGTCTCTTGACATTGACTGTCGATTGCTTGAGCTAGATGATGATGGGAAGCCGCTTCAGCCCCCAAACTCCGATCCCTCCGACTCGATTTTCTTTGAGCCTCGAGGTGCAACGTGGGTAGCCCCTGTTCATGTTACCAACACCCAACGCGAGAGAGAAGTCAAGCGATATACCGAGCAATGGGAGAGCGTCAAAGATAACCCACTTGTTCAGAGCCTTCATTCCCAGGTCTGGTTTCTCTATTCGGGTTTGGAGCATATGTTTTTCCTCTTCCGCCGAGAGTTCTATCCTGAAGGAGACGACAGAGTACCACCCAGCCTCAGGGAAATGTTTAAATGGGCAAAGAGGTAAGAGATCTACCGCCTTTGTCATGCGATAGGTATACTAATTTACCCTTCATAGTGGGACTATCGTACCATCTGTGTTTGCTGATAGATTTTACTCGGCTATCTGGGGATCGATACGATGGTTTCCCGGTATCTGCCTTTGTGCCGAAGAAACTGCTATATCCTACAGGGAAGCCGCATACTCTACTCGTCATTTTGATTAAAGAAGAGCCCAGTGAAGAGCTGTTCCGCGCAGAGGTAATGATACTTACCGCAGCTATCATCACGCGTCTCAAGGGAGAGGAATGTTTGGAATATAATACTATTCCCATGAGTATAGAGCTAAGATATACTTATCCTTCTTGAAAGCTGATATACATTTATATAATTATAGGTCATGGCTATCACTATTTTCGGACGAATGCAAGCTCGAGTACTCGAAGCTCATTACAGCCAGCAAGGGCTAGTCGTCAAGAAGACCCGGCTTCTTGATTTCTCGACCAACCAAGTCGCTAACAAAAACATGAACATTCTGCTTGGATTTATGGCCAGTGACCTAGTCAGAGATCCTAGAGGACCTACAGCTCCTACCGATATCCCAACGGTTTGTACTACAGATCCAATAGACTCGGGAAACACGCTAACTATGAATTAGACTTTACCCACAGCCGAGAAAGTGGACACAGCGAAAGGAGGAACCCTTCGGAAGATGTTCCGGAAAATACGCCCACGAGTCGGGGCAGATACAGAGTCAGAACAATCGGAAGGGGTTACCCAGTAACCAAATTTACAATGTAGCCTTTCTTTTACCCCAACGTTGATAGGGGATCAAGTGCCAACCGAATGCCTGAAGTCCCAAGGAACCAGATCTCTCAAGACAGCCCCTCTGGTCCAACTCCGGCTCTAGTCGCAGCGGGTACCCGTCTCGACGAATTTGGCTCGTTACACGAAGACACATACTATATCAAGCAAGGGCGCACCACTGACGTAACAGGAGGAGTGTGCAACGGTGTGTTGCCTGTTTGCAAATGGGCGACACGATACGATATCAATGGTAATAGCGTCGACAACAAAAATATTCGTACGGAGGAGTTTATGATTATAGGTGTCCAAGATCGCTTTAATGAGTCTGGTGACTCTGGCTCATTTGTCGTGGATTCAACCGGGGCTGTTGTGGGCCTCCTGTTCGCCAACTACGAACACCATTTGCAGACTGTCGGACTTGCATTACCAGTCTCGGATCTTATGGACACGATGAATGATCGACTTAAGGGTCCTGTTTCTCTACGTCTCCCGTAATTTCCTTGCTTCCATCTGTTTTCATTGTCAGGAAGACCTTTTCCAACAGACAATGATATGATTAAACATGTCTGTCTTTATGTGGTTTGAAACGGTCTGTGGTTATTATTTATGAACAACAGCGTGATTCCAGTCTATCTGCTTATCTTCCTATCCCCCTAGCTGTATTTGTGGGCTTCTTCAGTCCTATCGAGTGGGCGCTATCTTCTACCTGTCAATCAGCCTTGAGTTCCTGCGCGAGATTCATGTTGACGGCGAAGTCCGAGAGAACGTGGCTACCTATTTATATCTTTAAAGAGAATATTCTGCTTTGCTTTAAGCTCTTATGGCCGTTCATTTGCTTGCTTTAAATTAATTTCAACCTAATACCCTTGAAGATAGAGTAAGTAAAGATCGAGTAAACACCCCCGAATGTATGAAGAGGTAGAGAACTGTAGAAAATCTGCAGATGCGTGGAGAGAAGAAGAAACTATCTACAGATGCTGGACGAAATTTACTAAGAGCAAACATAGAGTGATATGGCTTCCAACAACTTTCCATTAAAGGAATACAAGAAATCAACGCTTGTTTGTGGCAGCAAGACCTAGATCCCAAGAGAGCTTTGATCAAGCTGTATTGACTGAAATTTGATCTTTAGCAGCTGTCGGTGTGACCATCGCCTCCGTTCTTGCATTGGTATCCGCACTTCTGGATAACCTTGATCTCGCCGTTGGACCCTCCAAGGCAAGCGAACAAGGCATTGTCTCTGGTTACGCCAGGGAAAGCGGACTGAGCGTCTGCAACCGCATTGCGGATCTGGGTATCGTAGTTGCCTTGATATCAATTTAGTAATTTGCTTTATAGTAAGTCGGATTATATAGTTTGTTTCACTAACCTCGGGAAAGAAGAGCCGAGGAGCAGTAATCGAACTTGGTTTGGCAGTTCTTAGCTGCACCAAGAGAGGCAAAGGCAGCCACGGAGGCAATGGAGAGGATGCTGAGCTTGACCATTGTGTATGTAGAGGAGGGTGGTTTTGATAGAAGAGGAGTTGCTAAGTTATTGAGATGATTGTAAAGTGATGATGGGAATATTTAGAGGGGATGGGAAAGGGGTCTTTATAGTTCGCATCTTGTCTTGTTAAGCTGCGAGGATTGTATGCGACACTATTGCTGCGGGGTACCTACTTCTAGCCCCCAATTCCCGTGTGAGCTATATCGAATGATGCTGGAGAAGACAGCATGTGGGTTCCGTAGATGTGGTGAGGTGGCTGTACCTGAACACCGGACCTGATTCCTACAGCAGTCTACCCTTGTAAGATTAAACCACCTCCACTTTACTAGTTTAGCGTAAGCATTAACTAGTTTTTAAATATTGTTCTTTAAAATGGTGAAACAAATTCGCATTTTTCAATACACGGCTCTCAATTTCATCTCTCAACCTCATCCGGTTGTGACAGCGGCGGCAGGGGATGGATCTGGCTCGGAATGGATCTGGCTCCGGGAGCTTGGGATACGCGGTATCTCAGATGCTATAGAGATAGAGAGAGAGATGGTAGTTAAAAAAGGAAGAATCCAGTATTCAGTACTCAGTATAGAAGCTGGAATACAGGTTGAATACATGGTGCTAAATTGAATTAGTGTTGGGCTGTGTAGATCTCCACGGAACCATTACAGCGCTGGTTGAATATTTCTAATTGTGCATGCAGTCTCATTATGCAAATTGTCACCCTGCCCTCTGGCCCCCGGTTGGAAATCAGGGATTGACCTGTCGATCCCTGTGTATGGGACTCAACGTCGTATTTTGCGCTAGCGGTGTGAATCCTTCGACTCCCATGATCCTCTGGGGTGACTGCACGGTACATAACTCATGCTTCTGCGCCTCTGTAGACGTGAGGAGATTGAACATAAAGATGGCAGTCGGACCAACAGATGACAGAAATCGGAAGATTGAGCGGGCTGAGGATTGATCTCACGGTAAACTAGTGAGTGCATTGGACAAATGATCAGCGTTCCTGGGCTTTTTGATTCTAAACCTATTCTAGAGAGACCCTGTCCCGACCCTTTTTTGGCCCCCGTCTGAGAGTAGTTGACCCACATTGCCGGAATGATGTTAGCTTCAGGAAATGTGATTCAGATCGTGACTGCGGAAAGAGGACCGCAATGAACGATTGACTATCAACGCACATCTAATGTTATATTCCTGGAATTGACCATAGTTGATCCAAATTGATCTAATTTCAGGAGAATGGAGGCGAGCCCATTTTTCATGAGATGCTTCGAATGCTCTACGGCTTGTCGTTGGAGTGGGGCTCCACAGGGTCGTTCCGGGGCCGTGGCCCCTGCAGCCGCAGCCTACGATGGGCCAGCGAGAGTCAACCGATCTACATATCAGTGGATCACGTGCAGTTCCTAACACCGAAGCATCCAACCAGGTATCCCCCTCGGCATTAGGGAAAAGAGAAACCAGTTGTTCTCAGTGAGTACCCAGTGAGCAAGAACATGATTAACCCTGAGGGCATCCACTGCGGAGAGGAAATCAAGTATGTTGTATGCTATTTCTTTGCTTATTGTGTGCCAAGAGAAACCAGTGCAACGAGGGGGCCAGAAGCTAGATTCTAGACGACTTTTTTCATCTAGCCAACCTCATGTAGTGGATTCGGCTGCAAAACTGAATTGGGGCGGATTTCCTGACTTTGATCCTTGGGGGGTTGTCGCTAAAGATATCCAGACAACAAACTGAATGCTTAAAGGAAAAGAAAATCACAAGCTTAAGAGATCCTAAGTCTCATTTCCTCGAGTTGCGCGATTTATCGAACTGCTAGCCTGCACTAGCTTTTGTCCGCAAATATTTCAGGAAGCTAAGATCTGTCCTTGGGAGAGGCATTTGCTTTCGCCTGCTAGCTTTATTCTTGTTCGAGTATGTATTAGCTGAGCCATTGCCTGCGCTAAATGTAGATAACTTTGAGAAAAATGAACTCAATAATATCTTATAAATTACTCTGCAAGCCCGACGTCATTTCGAATTGTCTAAAAAGGAGATGTGGAAATGAGCTCCATATTGGCGGGGCCTTCATGTCTTGGTAAACCTATTATTCTCCGATGGTTACTGACGAGGAACATGGTGAAAAAATTCAATTCGTGCGGAAGCTTTGAAGGGTTTCACCCAGGTGGGCTTTTTTTGGTTACACCTACGTAGTAAATGTTGACCAGAGCGAAATTCGAGGGTTAACTAGGTAGGGTTGGTCACTGAAGCCAGTGGGTTAGTATGTGGGTCAAACAACTATGAAATAGAGGGTTAGGAGTGTGACACAGTGGCATGCTTCTATGCGTCAAACAACAAACTTTCGGGTACTCAACTCTCAGGTCAACTAGACCAAGACAGAAGACTATACTACCTCTTGCCCATGGTGATCCACGTAGATGTATGTCGCCACTGAAGACTAAGACAACCAAAACTGGGCTTTAGGCACAAAGTAACCAACATCAACATTGCCGAGTATCATGCGAAGCAGGGTGACAGTCAACCAGAGAAGTTAAAAATTCCGAGGATACACCGAAAGCTCGCAGATTATTACCGCAATGTAATCAGATCAGCAGAGAAGCCGAAGGAACGACTGTTCATCTCGCACTTAACAGGCATTATGCATCAACCTTGGGATGCACCAAAATGTCAGAAGTGCCAGGAAATGATCGGTCACGGCTGGGTGGGAAAGAATAATAAGGTAAATAATTACCTCAATATCCTTACCGTCACCGACAAATAGTTCGCTGAGTTGTTGAACATCCTGGAAGAAATGGATGTTGCCAACAAGACCCTGGTATGATGGTGGGAGATCAGTAAGTGCCAGATCCCAATATTTTCATGCCAATTAACCCTAACCCCGACAGTAGCGTTTCACTCCCTGAGGACATCGACTTGGCCCCATACCTTGACCCTCATATCGCCAGCTTCCACGTCCCTCAGTCTTTGCGCACCCCCAACTGCCACCTATCGAGATCATCTCTCGAGTGGCTTCAATCAAAATCCTCCCTACAGTTCTTGATATAGATCTTAGGTACGGAGTAATGTAAAGAAAGATACAATACTAGCCAATCAACAATATAGAATGGAGGATGGAGGATGGAGGGAGGCACTAGCCTGCTGCTGCCTGCTAAGCCCCGCCCAACAACCCGTTCACATCAACCCTCTCACCCTTCAATACTCCCACCTCTCAATCCTCCCTTGAATGCCTCAAAATAATAACAGCCTTCGTGGCGATTTACAATATCGCGACTCGACTTCCAACTTCCCACAAGAGAACATGAACTCCACCTCATATCCCCTGTCGTACCAAACAGTTGGTCAGCTAGATGACTCAGACTTCAAGCTTCAATCCCTATCAACCGACCTGTCACTTTGCCTACCAAAGAAAGAGGATACCCCAGTAATTTTGAATATTCTTCAAAATAAAGCAAACTCCGAATTCGATAAGTCCATCTCGGAAGCCACAACCGAAGAGCTCGAGGGAATCGCTCGACGATGGACATCCCTCTCTCAACCACTCACCTACGTGAACTTTTTAATTTGGCATCACGATACGCCCATCGGGATCGCTGGCCTGGGTTGGATCGGTGCGACCGATGGAAATGAAGCTGAAAGTGACCGATCACGAGCTGGCGCAGCGGGCGTAATTATTGAGCCGGTCGCGCGAGGCAAAGGGTATGCATATGAAGCACTGCGGATGGTTTTTGATTATGGGTTTCATGAATTGGGGCTGGTGGAGATTCGAGTCGGTAGTCATTCTGGGAACGTACCGATGAAAATGCTGATGGAGCGGAAATTTGGTCTAGAGGTAGAAGGGAATAGTGGACATGATAATGTGGATAAGTTTGGGAATGATCTTTTGTGGATAGTTAAGACGGACGGTCACTAGGGCTGAGAAGCTATGATCTCAATATTCAGTCCAAATGTATACTACTCGAACTTGAGGACCTGTTTGCGACTTTTCATGTTTGGTGAACCTTTAGTCTTTGGACAAAAGCCAAGGTATCAGAATGAAGCTTAGCATCAAGCTTTAATGGTGGTAAGAGATGGGAGGAATATCGATTAGTATACAGATCGTAATGGTCGTTAGCTATAAATACATATGGAGTGGGGAGTAGGCTTGGCACGATTAGTATCAAAAGCTTCATTTTACCCCGTAGAGCGCCCTTCCAAGACATCTTTAAAAACATATCCACCAAAATTGAGGAACGGATGCTCTGTCAGTTCACGAGCAGTTTTCCTCTCCGATGGAACCCAAGTGAGCATATCCCTAGCAAAAGATAAGAACAGCTCCCTTTCTGAGTCATCGAGAGATGGGATTGTATCCTCCAATTTCCGATTAGGTATCAGTTCCTCGTGAAGGAATTTCCCTACCAACCATCAGCCGAAGTACTCACACGCCAGAATTTAGAATAAAAGACTCACCTTCTTCATCGAAGTACGGACCGCCAAAGACCTCTCGGGCATTCTTGCACGGCTTTCCAACCTCAATGCTAATCGTAGAAGCATATTCTACCTGTGACATAAAGTCTGCTCGCTCAATTACCTCCTTAGGTGGTGGACCAAGCAGAGCAATCATTTCTGCCAGATGTGATTTAGGATCGTATCGACCGTTAGCATCTTCCACTTGAGTAAACAGCTCTGTGCCTTCGATAATGTTCCAAACCTTTGAAACCAACAGGTTAGTCTGAACATCATGAATAGGCGCATAGATATTCGAGCTTCTTACAAGGACACCAAAGTTCCATATATCGGCGCTAAAGTCCCACCCATAGTCAAGGACAACTTCCGGCGCGCGGTAGTAGTTTGGTTGTATAGGATACGTAATAACGGGTTCGTTTTGTGACTTTGTTTCTAGGTCGACGACATCCAATGGCCATCCCGAGCCGAAATCGTTTATTTTGGGGAGTATATTTCCGATCTCCTTAACGTCCATGGGCCCGAAGCCGTTGTAGCTTTGGTAGGTAGTGTGATTGGTCACAGGATCAGTCTTGTAGTGCATGGGAAACTTGAGGACTTGTTCTTGGATGAACCTAGGGATAGCGTTCTCATTCTCAAAGGTCATCAGGATATTTGCGAGCTTCAGGTCTAAAGCCACTTCCCTGATCAGCAAACGCCATGGCTTTAGTGGAATCCAACGAGTATCACTTGCCAGTATGAATAAGTCTGCATTCAGCGTGCAAATACTGTAGCCCGAGAAGAAGCAAATGAATATACGCCTTCGCAACCGGAAGAGGCATTCTTCGGTTCTCGAAACGTTTCTGAAAGACTGTCATTGGTTCCCGCATTGCCTCATATACAAAACAAAGGTGTGTTTTATCCGAGCTCTGGAGCTCGAAGCTCCCCAGACAGTGGCATGTACCATCATAGCCCTGATGTAAACGGTTTTTTTGTGCAACGGTTTCCTCGATACCAAGAAGATGACTCGCAGATGTAGCATAAGAGCTATTCAAAATCTTCAAAGCAACCGGTCGCTCGGACTGCCATCGGAATATGGTAGCCCAATATCTCCGATTAGTCTCGGATGGAATTGTCACAGAAACAAAGCATACCTTCTCACATCTCGCGCGAGCCATACGGTCGAACTCGTTCCCCAGCCAATCTTTGCTAACAACTGGTACTTATCGCCAAGTGTTTCGCCTGGTATTGCTGTGTAATAATCTTGTGGGATGTATCTTGGGCATCTTTCTTCGTCCACGACCTCGTGGCTGGGTATGGCAAAGGTAGGACCTGTAGGAGGGAGCTGGAGCGGCTTTGTGCGCAGCTAAATGAATGTCCGCTTTGTCACGCGACTTGTAAAGCGTAAGCCAATCATGGGAACATGTAGATTTCATTCAAGTGTCGTGTGGGTGAATGAATTTGGCTTGAACTGTGTGGGTGGATGGTATGTTGGCCTTGGCGGGACGGTCCGGCGCCCCACTCTGTGGAGCAGATGGAGCGTTTAAGGTTGGAAGATTGGGAGAGAAACTTATCTCAACTCAGTCTTTATAAGTCAATAAGTCAATTAAGATCTATATCTATTTCTTGAAACCTGCGGCAAAAGGTAAGGGGGAAGTTTGAATTCGGAAAAAGGCTACATTACTAAGCTTTGTTTTGATTTGGCCAGATTGACTTGCACCGCTGTTCACCTTTGCAATGCCTTGTTACATATTAGCTCAAGCTTTGTCTTCAGTTTGTTCTCTCTAGTCGAGATCCAAAGAGGCTATTATACAGGAATCACGCTTAACTGATCGTTTTTATTCACTCGTATCTCTTAGTAAAACAAAATCATTCTCCACGCCTTACAGGTGAATTGTAGGTTGTTCATCCTTGCAGTCATCGTCCTTCTCAAGTTCTCGCACAATGATCCTGTTACCGCTCACACGCTCACATCTCCACCTACAGCAGGTCCAGTTCAGAAAGCCTGCCACACGTTTGGGACACAATGTGCATCGGATATCGAGGGTTAGACGTTGCAAGAAGGACTCTTGAGCGACCGTAAAAAATATTGCTTGCGCTGGGAGACTGGAATGTAGCGGGCTGTTTTGAAGCATTGCCCGTGAAAGCTCAGGTGCTGATGTTGAATAGTCTAACGAGTTCAAAAAGGACTCTTGCTCTTGCATGTCGTCGTTGCAAATCAATCGCAATAAAATATCCCTAAGGTGAGGGATCTCACCGATGGCTCTGAAAAGAGAGTCTTCCTCTTTGAGTCTTCTTCGGTACACAGAGAATTGCAAACTGCGGATATTTGGGCAATGAAGTCGAATTTGTATAATCCGGTTGGTGAAAGAAGGAACCTCCTCGCCAGAGTCGGATGCACGTGGGAGAAGCGAGAGCTCAGTAAGAGATTTGCCGTGGTGCCTAAGTGTTGCTTGGAATGTATGCTCCTTTTGGCAGCTGGACATTCGAATTGTTTCCAATAGATGAAGGGAGGAGACAAAATCACTTGCTGCTCTATCGTAACTCTCCCAGCCTGGGAAGCTCAGAGCTAATGATCTCAGCAAATGGAACTGGCAGCTAGTTGCTGCGATAAGCACACACTCGGAGACATCCCACAGTTGTAAAACCCGAAGCCCAAAAAACGCATTCTGATTTTCCCAAGCCTTAAAATAGCCAAGGCGGACTGAGCTTAGACTGAGGTATCGTAGGCTTCCCCCATGCAGTCTGTGCTCGTCGTTGAGATTCTGAGGAAAACCTTTCCATTCTGGGCACCCTGGTTCTGCTGGATTGAGTCTCAGTTCCGATGGGTCCTCAACGATATGTACCCGAGATAGGTTTGGAGCTAATCCGGTTGCTAGGTGTATGGCTGCTTTGGCATTTAAACACACAGCCCATTCACTGTCAACTTTTGGGAGCGGGACTAGGATGCTAGAGAGGGAAGGTGACGTAGCCAATTTGTATTCATATTCATCAACATGAGAAGGTACATCGTTCTTATAGCGCAAACTGGGTAAAATAAATATCGTAATATGCAGTCTGCAATGTGGTATAAACCGATGCAAGGTGTCGAGCAAACAGGGTGGAAATAACTCAACACAGCTCCAGGTCATATCTCGAAGTTTCGATAGTCGGCTCAAGAGAGATTGAAGTGGACTCCATATCGCATGCTGAGAGTTGGGAAAACGGTAGTTCAAGTAAAAATCGGGAAAAATACAGTCGATTTCGCGACGGTAGTAGCTACCTAGGCAACTCAAATCACCCTCACCTTCCTCTTGGTGGATATTCAAAGATTCCAGCATCTGGTCCCTGTTGGGCTCGATTGGGAGTACGGTTCCCCGAACTGTTACTGAACGAACATATGCAAATGCAGATGATCTGCTGAGAATTTCATTGTACCGTTGAACATCTTTGTCGAGGCTTTCGCGACCCACAACGGTGAAATTGAGGTGTCGGAAACGATACCTGTTAGCAAAAGCTAAGCAATATTTGTTCGTTAGTGCAAAGCTATAGACACTAGGGGGGTCATCAGATGCTAGATGGTCGCATATTTGCTCAATCGGCTCTGGTGGGAAAGAAACTAGGGAAGACATGTTCGATTGGAAGTAGTAGTGGAGCCCAGGTGTTGAAAGAGGTAGTATGGGAGAAGACTGCCGTAGATGAAAGGAAAGGGAGAAATAAGTGGTAGAAAAGCGAGACTCCTCGCGGCCTCAATTCAATGTGACATAGATTGGCCTGATATGGGCCGCCTGAGTGGATGTCTAGATAGAAGGAGGTAAAAGATATGTGAGTGATTTACAAGAAAGTGGAAATCCTCTACGTATATATGTTAAACTGGAAGATGAACCTAATATGTAAAACAAAAAGAAAGACAAAGAAATCAAACATTGACTGCATAAATGATCCAAAATGGTCACCTTTCCTGAGTCAAATGTTGCACAAGTAGGTATTCTATCTAAAATGCCAATTAACCAATCCCGTGAAGCTTCAAATCATGCACCGGAGAATAAACATCCCGTCATAACATATATTTCAACAACATCCCCAAGGAGCATGCACTTCACTACCAAATGGAAGGCAAATCTCCATTTGAAAGCCGGGAGAGCCTTTCGTCGCTGAATTGGAAACATTCTGGAAGTCCCGTTTCATCCCAGGTCTTGCCAAGTACAAGTTGGGCGACAGCCGGGGCACATGTAAATATCCGGGCCATACCTGTTACTAGTCAGCAGTCATCTTTCAAAATGTGGTTGAGCAAAACAAAAACTCACCATGGCCATTAAATCCAGCACAAATATACTGTCCGGGCAGAGAATCAATCGCCCCGACGAACGGAACAGAGTCCGTAGTCATGGCAATTATCCCTGTCCAAGCATGATCCAGCCCCTCGCCGTGCATGGCAGTCTGAGCCGAATAAGCAGGAAACATCTCACCAAAAGTCCGCAGAGCGTCCTGGGCAATCTCCTCATTATACCGGGAATCGTCAGTGCTGTATCGACCAGCCTTTGTCTCAGGGCTCATTGTTGGGTTTGCTCGCGATACACCCAACACCAATGTACCATCCCCCTTACGTTGAATTAGGGAGTAGAAGTGGAAGAGGCTGAAGCGGAGCGAGAAAGTGCTCTGCAGAGCCTTCTGGCCCGAGAAAGCTGGAACAGGCACGATGGAGTGAGCCTGTGCACGGTTTGGCCGAATGTAAGCCTCCAACTGCGGCAGTAACAAGGCAGCATGAGCATTTGTGCAATGGATAATTTTCTCTGCTTCTATTATTCCCCGGAGCGTATGCACCTTCCAGGCTTCTGGGGCTGCATCACTCCGCTCAATTTTAGTGGCAGGACAAAACGTGAAGAGCTTCACACCCTTGGATATCACTGCCTGAAGAAGAAACTGTGCAAGCTTTGCCGGGTGGCTTGATCCCGCTGGCCACTCATATGCTGCTACAGCCCCTGGGACTCTAGTCTTCTGCTTGGCCTGGTCTCCTTCATAGAATGTGATGTGCGAAGTATCGCCGCCTGCTTTCTTAAATGCTTCCAGGCTCTCTGCTTCGTAAGCTGCAAATTCTGGGGTCATGCAAACATCAAATGTCGTTGTCAAGTTGAAGTCGCATTCCACATTATGTTCTTTGACAAATGCATCGACTCTTTCTAGGACAAGTCGCTCATCCTGGATGATCTTTAATGCTTGTTGCTCTCCATGCACTTTGGCATATGCGCTGAAACCCCTGAAGGCATCTATTTTCCAAATTAGAAAGGCTCGCAATATCCCCAATAGAAGTCTGACAAACCTGGCCGCACGTGCCCAGCATTCCGTGAGCTCGCACCACTTGCTGCCTCTCTTGCCTCGAGAATCACGATATCCTCAGCTTTGGCCCCTCCTTCGATCAGCTTGAAGGCCGTCAAGCCGCCAGAAATACCGGATCCCACAATGACATATTTTGAGTTTGATGGAACAGTTGTTTCGACGTTCGCATGCAAGTTCGGATATGCCCGAGTTGTTCGTTGCCAGTAACTTAAACAAGGGGTGGGATTTGGCAAGCTTTGGCTTGTCTTAATATTTGAAACTAACATTTCAGAGGATTTTCGATTAGTCAAGGATTCTGCAAATCTTCATCGATATTTATATAACTTGGAGAGAGTGAGTCTCGTATTCACACCGTTGTCGGTGCAGGGATGCGGGGAAGGCTAGGAATCTCCTATCGCGGACCCCTCAAATCCTCCAACCCAAAAAAAATTAGCCCCAACTCTTTCAGCTAATTAGATTCTCCCCAAGGTCAACTTATCTCCAGGTCCACTCGTTAAGCTAACCTCGGAGTGTAAGTGAGTGGAGTCGATTCAACGCCAAGATGCCTGGTATCTTGTATATCAGCAACTCGGGCATTCCTCCGATGTTACCCCAATAGTGGAATATCACCAGTGGTGCTTTAAATGCTTATCACGCGTGCACCTTGCAGAACCATCCTCGGATCTGCAATCTGAAGTCTACCCCGGACACATTATTTGACCTGTCGGTGAGGGGTCACAGGAGCCTTATCACAGCTCGGGCCTGCATGGGCCTGTATTTGAATGGCCAAGATCGCTAGAATATTGGCTTTTTTTCCTCCTCCCTGTCAAACCACTACAATCATGGTGTCCTTCAAAATGTTCCGTCGCAATGCGTCGACAAACATCGATATCCGATCTCCAGAGGAGAAGGCCCTTGTCCGACGTCTTGACATGTTCCTGATGACATTCGGCTGCCTTTCACAGGGTGCGTTGGGCTACAGACACCTCCTCACAGCTTGAGATCAGGAAACTAACTTCTGTTAGTTATCAAATATCTCGATCAACAGAATATCAACAATGCCTACGTGTCTGGCATGAAGGAAGATTTAAACTTAATCGGAAATGAGCTTAATCTGTGAGTTGTCCGAAAATATTTACATAACGCAGAGTTGATGATAGCTGATAATATCTAGATTCACAACATATTTCAACGTCGCCTACTGCATAATGCTAATCCCCTCCCAAATCATCCTGACCTACGTACGCCCAAGTTATTGGCTCCCAGGCTTGGAAATTGCATGGGGTGTTCTGACCGGATTGATCGCGATGACAACGAGCGCGAAACAAGTCTACATTATCCGTGTATTCCTCGGTCTATGCGAAAGCAGTGCTTGGCCAGGAATGATGACATTATTCAGTATGTCATTCAAAAGCCCTTTTCTTGACCCACCGAATTAACCAACCCTGCAGTGTACTGGTATACCCCAACCGAACTCGCCAAGCGAATGGGATTCTACCACTCCTGCCAAGCAGTCGGCCAAATGCTGTCGGGCGCCATGCAAGCCGCAATCACCGACACTCTCAACGGACGCAACGGACTAGCAGGATGGCGCTGGCTATTCGTTATCAACGCAATCATCACGGTAATCTGGGGATTCGCAGGATTTTTCATGCTCCCTGATCTACCGAACAGACCTAACCCACGCGCATTTTGGTTCAAGAAAGTTGACGGCGAGCTTTCGCTGGAACGGCTCGCGCGCAACGGTCGCGCCGAGCCAAAGAAGATGACCTGGGCCGGCGTGAAGCGCACGTTCTCGGGATGGGTTGTTTACTTCATTGCGGTTCTGTATATCGCGACGGTTCTTGGAACATACGGATATGTTTATTTCGGGCTGTTCCTGAAGTCTCTCAAGAACCCAGACGGGAGCGCGAGATGGACTATCTCGCAGGTCAACGTTATCCCCATTGGAGGATCTGCCATCAACGTCGTTTTCGTGTGGATCTGGGCTCTGTTATCGGATTACTTTGAAACGCGTTGGACGCTCATCGTTCTTCAGGCGGTTATTGGGATTGTTCCGTGTATCATCATGAGCATTTGGACTACACATCCGGCATCGGTGGCTATATCTGCTGCTTATGCATCATACTTCATCTCGTATATTTGTCTCGGCACGGCGCCGCTGATCTTCGCCTGGCTCTCTGATCTTATTCCACAGGATCCAGAGGTGCGGTCTCTTGTTGTCGGTGTTGCTGTTGCTGGGTACTATGCCATCTCTTCGTGGTCACAGGTGCTCGTCTGGCCTGCAAGTCAAGCACCATTCTATAAATATGGATGGCAGTCTGCATTAGCCTTGTTGGTTCTTGTGATTATAATGACGAGCATTTTAAGATTCGTGGATGTGCGATACCTCCTACCAAAGCGCGAGGAATTCCGTGCTGTGTTGGAGGAAGATATTGTTGCGAGCAAAGGGGCTGGTCCATCAGTGTTGGCAGATCAGATCGAAGATCGGCATCGGGTAGATGGAAGCTCGAAGGTGTCTCCCACGTCAAATGTGCGTGAGGTTTAGGCATCGGAGCTCTAATCGATCTCATGTTTACGTTGATTTGCTTTGCCCTCACGATGATATTGCACGCTAGTTTACCCTTTTTGATTTATATTCGATACCCAGTTAACTGTCCTTATAAGATTAGACCTCTTCCACTCATCAAGCAAAACACAGTGGATATTCATTGGCAGTAATTAGTAATTAGCTATAGTATGTCCACAGTAAAATACATGGCCCAAAAGCTCATGTCAGGCTCAGAAGAGTAAACAAATACCCCCGTCCTCATAATCTCCAATGTCACATTGATATTATCCTACCATTAGGCTACCAGTGGAGGTAACCTAGTAGTAGAGAGGGTTCTCAGGGTCAGTAAGATCAAAGATCACACTAGAGTGAGGCTTAGCACCACCACGATTGGCAAACTCCTTGGGGAAGTCAATAGAGCGGTTGAAAGAAAGGCTACCGTCCTCGTTGAGGTCGATATAGAGCGCCTTGAAG